ATATGTGACCCTGAAGATACTGAGGCCTTCGTAAGGAGTTAGTGACCAGAATCAGGACCTTGGGGAAAGAGCTATACCAAAGGAACTGATCGTGAAACTACCTTGACTCATGTCGTCCATGGATGAGTGACCGCGTATCTCGGTCTTATAACAAAATTTTTCTCATAGTATATTGTATAATTATTACTTATTACTTCCGTATTTGTAGTTAAACAGGAAAGTATTCGTGTGGTAAGGTGAAGTGGTGTGATGTGTTCTTCGTAGGTTTTTGTTTGTTTATTTTGCTTGGATTGAAAATAAAGGTATATACGTTTCGTTTTGGTTTGCTGGTGTTTAATTCGGAGGAGCCAATTTCCCACACCCAGTGACACCAAATCTTGAGGTCCTGTGAAACATGATGCATTAGTCATGGTGAAATAAAAAAAAAAAAAAAAAAGAAATCCTTTGTGCTAGGAAACAATTGGTAAACGATTTGGTATTCATCAATAAAAATACAAAATAAAAAACAATAAATTTTGTACAGTATCTCCGTGTTACTACGTTACCTAATTTAATAAAGATATACTCGGATCAGTTGTTGTGTCATCGCTACTGTCATAAACATAGAAATTCAGATTATCATATCAATACTTTTTGAATTATGTTTTCTTCATCAATGTTCAGCTGTAAAGGTTTGAATCTTTACCAAACTTTAAAGGAGAAATGACGATGGTCTCTAGATATGCATACAACTAACGTTTTCTGATTTGGCAAGATAACCGTCATTTCCTAGTTCCTGATTTGATCATACCTTTCCATCTTAGATATGTTTGCTCTATTCAGCGCATCCAGATGAACATTTATGAAACTTTCTAAGAATATGTAATAGATATGTAACCAAAATAGCTGCCAAATTGAGACTTTCGATTGATCGAATTTAGGTATTGTCCACTTTGAGTGAAATTTTGATATGATATGTAGGTATTGTTTGACACTAAAAAGGGTTAGTCGAAACTTTACTTTTTAGCTCACCTTACCATAAGCAGCAAGTGAGCTTATGCCGTGGCGCGACTCCCTTCGTCCATCCGGCGTCAATTTTTCCATTTAAACGACTTCTTCTCAATTACCAGCAGACCGAATATCATGGTACAAAGTTTGTGAAAAGAATAACCTTGACCCATATTCAATTTCGCAGGAATCAAATCGGTTAAAACATTTAAACGACTTATTCTGACTAAACAATAGATGCACGAGCGCATTTGTGACTGACAGGTTCTTAAGAAATGACATTGATTCTTATTCAAGGTCAAAGTAAAATCTAAAAATAACTTCTGTGTAACAAAAAGGCGCAGAAGCATGGTGGTTGGTTGATGACTCCAAGGATAAAGCCCGACAAAGTTTGCGAAAAGTAATGACATTGTTTTGTAGTTAAAATCAACGTGACATTAATTGTAGTGGCAAATGGTGATATATTTTTGAAAACTTTGAAGTATTTAATTAAATTTGTGTTATCATAACGTGTAATACTTGCCAAATTACAATAGTGGTTTGAATTCTTTGTCATTTACGTCTCATTTTGTATATTAGATCATTTAAACGCTATTTTCAAAAAGATAAACCAAGTCTACCTCTTGGTAATTATGATTTAATTTTCGTCAACATATTTCAAAAGAACATGTTGAAAATGTTGTTGCATTCTTTGTTTTGTATTTGATTGAAAGAACATTTAACACATATTGATGCAATTTCAATAGCAAATTTCATTTCGTATGCTCAATTAAACTATTATAATTGTTGGAAAAATATTTTGAGGGATATCTTTCGACCACTTTGACAGGCTATTCCACAATCCAACTACTCAACTTTTCTCTTTAACAGCTATTGCATAGAAACACATCATTACTTGACTTTACACTGTAACAGTTGATATTGAGATCATGCATTTCCATTTCATTATCAAACTATTAAACTAAATCATAATGTTCCTAGTGATGGCCTGTGTGACGTCAGAGACAGGAAATGTATGAAGGTGCAAATAATTGCGCAGCATCTTAAAGCTGGATCAGGACTCGGGTGTCGTTACAAAAAAACAGAGGTAGGCTTCAACGGAAAGCATAGTTTTCAGAAACAAAGAAAACACCCAACTGGTCAAAAGAATCATAATAAATAATATTAATCTTTACATTATAGATCTTTACATCTATTTTTGCCGCATTTCGAATACATTAGAAAATTTTACACATCCATTAAAAGGGATTCTTATATCTTCTTCTAAGTGTAATTCGCTAAATTGTTGGGAATCACTTATTGATAAATAGACCATATATAAATAATAATAAATAATATATATAATAATAAGAAAATAATAAACCATGCTTTATAATGCAACACAGATAACTTCTGTAGTCATAGTGATCTCATTGAGAGATATTCTTTGAGTGATATGAAGCTGGACGTATTGATGCTTATTAGTTCGTTCTATTCTCTGTGTACTTTTTCAGGTTTCTCCGGGTAAGTCTTTATTTTGTTCACACGTTTGTATTTTGCCCTAGTGTTGTTGAATTTGAGTTTGGATTGATTTTGTTGGTATTTTGTAGCATGGAAATGGACAAATTGTACCATATGGACAGAACATTGATGTCTCTGCCTCCTTTACCAGTTTCTTAGAGGTCGAATGTAGCCTACCTGCAAGCAATGTATTAACTAAAAGTAAGTCAATCCCTTATACATACATACATATATCACGGCATATAAAAGCGATATCGTATCAAATACTTGAAAATCACGAAGTAAGTTAAACGTTTCCAGTGGTATAAACAAGTATGTGAAAAAAGAAAATGAATACAGATTGAATATAGTAAGCTATAAAAAGGCAGCATATCATAGTGACTCAAATCATACACTAGAATTACAATGTAAGAATATATCAGATTGTTTTCAGTAATTATTTGAAAAAATATATATACAAAAAAAAAGAGATAAAACGAGAGGGTAAGGGCTAGATAAAGTAAAAAACTCTGGATGTGCCGGTGTAATTAACCATTTAGCTCGTTTTACAGGACGTCCTAGTGAAGCCTTTGTAGTATCTGTAACAACTGACGGGATATTGTATAGTTCTGGCCTTACCTTTCTTATCTACGACGGTACATGTCAAATATGTACTATCGATGGAAACTGCACACTAAAGGTGAACAAAACAATGAAAGTTTTTATCAGTTTATAAATAATTAAGTAGGATTAAGTTATTTAAGTTTGATAAGAATTCAGTTGACTTTAAAACTTCCTATAGTACTTTTACAACAATTCAGATAGCATTGTACGCACCATCGAACCTCGTTTTATGTCATTGCATTTTTGAAACAGAGGAGCTGAAAATTGTTATTCTTCAAAATGTAGTATGAATTGTAAATCTTTGTTAATCTTATGGGAATTGAAAAGATCTCGCCAAAGAACCTTTTTCACGAGCAATGATTTATCTTAAAGAACTGATATGGGCCCTCCAGGCATCTTACTTTACTTGCAAAGATTTTTTTTATCCAATGTCATCTCTAAACTTTCTTTATCTCTGTTTCATATTTTGAAGAACAAAAGCAAAGATAAGAAATATATCACAACATCATAACAATCACATGACGTCACTTTCGAGATTCTGATTCCACGCAATTAAGCTGCTAATTGACAAACTTACCGGTCACGAATTTTTTCAATTTTTTGGCTAAGAACAGCAAATATAAGGGGCCAAATTATATTAAAAGCGCGTGGGTGCATCGAAACCGGAAGAGTTTGAAACACTCTTCCAAAATCAAACATTGTTTTCTTAAAATCAAGAAAAAAAAATCACATTTTTCTTTATTTACTTGATGATAACTTTTTTCTTATGCCAAATTTGACAAATAATGTTTGCTTAAAATGACAAATAGATTCCAATAAACAAAAATAAGTGGTTATAAGAAGCCTTGCGATGAACCCTTGCCTTGTTATGGAGCCATTTCTGAACCTTACCTTATACCCTTAGTAAGTGTCACAAATTCTATAATAATTCAGGCCCTATGCGCCTTTTGAATTTTAAGTGCTAATTCAGGGGAGTGCATTTGGATGCTATAAATGCCACATGGTTTGGATTAAACCGGGTTGTGGGCAAAATTCCATTGTTCGTGAAAGAGGTCCTTTCGGGACATCTATGATATGTGATATGATTACTCCCAAACATTATATCCAGGACAACACTTGTCTGATTGACAACGTATGTCGTGTGACCGGAGAACAGAGTTCTGATGGTGGTTACTGTGACCCTACAAATGACCCACAATCGTGGACTAGAAATCCAGCTGTGTCAGGTCAGCAACACTCACTTTCATCTTAAACGATTACAAATCTTCGTTACATTTCTGCATTTTCTATATACCAAAGAGATAAAACTACGTTTCCAGTTCACATCTCGATACATTTAGAAATTCCCCTTTCTCGCGTCTTATTATGTCTTTAATAGCGATTTTTAAAAATGTATTTTTATTAAACAGATGTATTCGACGATGTAATAATGCTTTTATGAACAAATGAACTTCAGCTTTACGACCCCAATTATGCCTTGATGCTATTCAAGAGTTCGTAGTTCAATCAGTTTAGTTGTACCACAAAGATTACATGTGGAAGCAATATAATAGTACATGGTTTCAAAATGAGACAATCTTGTGCGTAAACAATGATAGTAAAACCTTGTATTGACAGCGATAAAGACCAGCTACATTTTTGTGATATTCTCTATGTCAAGAACGTGCCACATGGCTCGTTAACGTTATTCGGTGTATGCTTTTAAAACGTTTGTATTTCAACAATCACAATATCAGAAACCGAAAAAGAGTTAAAGTTAAGCCATCCAGTGAGAAGATCACCGCTTCAAGCGAAGTACTATTGGTTATAAAACAAGTTCTTCAACATATGGACAGTTAAGTCCTTCCGAGGAAAGATGATGCGTTTTGATAATCCGTTATCACGTTTGTTACCGTTTTAAATTTCCAATATTATCATTATAATGTTTGATTATTTTTTCAACTAACTCCGTCGAAGTTTCTGTACCTCATCTGTTAAAACAAATTTTACTTTTAAATGATGTTAATCACTATTTTAGTTACGATACCCTATGACGTTGACTTTTAATCAGTAGTTTTTATCTTTCATCATCAGAACTTATCTGGACGAGGAATCTTATAAACAGTAATACGTATATTCTAGTTTTCTAGTGACCACTTCGAATATTGTTTATTTTCAAAAGCACTTATAGATAATGATTAAAAAAATAACCGAAAATGTCCAAAGAATTTTTAAGAAAGATTTACACGAATACCTCTGATAAAGTATGTGGATAATACAACCAAATATCCCTGAAGGGCAAACGTTTTCTGTTTCACCCACAATACCCATCATGCTGATTAAAGTTTTGATGAAGTTGATAACTACCATAGCAGACATATCTCACCACTTTCCTTGCTGTTTTTCTAACAGAGATAAATCACTTCACGGCGTCAGGTTCTGGATGTCAATGTGGCTATGACAAAGCCAGATTTGATTGTGCCTGCTGTACCAATAATGGCTGTCAGTGTGGAGATGTTAAACCCCATGTATGTACCAACTGTATGCATCTCGCCTCCTGTGCGTCTTACCCTGACGTCATTGTTGTAAACTGATTAAAGATTTAAGATAAAAAAACACTGATTGATATATAGTATGACTTTTTTCGATTGAAACTCTCAATAAAATGATGCTAGTTATGGTATTCTTCATACAGATTTGAGAGACCCTAAGGGATATCTAAAACTGTCATGAATGTAACTTACATGTTATATTCCCACTGGAGCCTCTTAATATAGCATACATGAAACATTATACCTGAACCGATAAGTTTCAATGCTGTAGAATATCAGCTTCAGTTTGAAACACTATCATCTTCTTGAACTTAAAGAAACTGGCAAGATTTTTTATTTTTAAAATGAAGATAGATTTTAAAGCTACTTTAAAAGTTGTTAGTGTACTCCTATAAAATTGTTGCCTGACTTGAAAAGATAAAGAAAACATGTCAACATAATCATAATCCAAACACAAATTTATTAAAACTAGGGCAAAATATGAACAAGAGGAAGATATACAAGGATACTCTTGAAAAAATTCAGTGAAAACAAGACAAGGTATTCCGGAAGAGTAAGCATCTTCTCCTTCATCGACGACACATGCCATGTAAATCGTGGTCAACACGAGTAAGCAATGTCAGGTTCGCAAATGTGAACAATGTATACAATAACGGAAACAACAGGCGAGCGAACTAACGAGCATCAAATACGTCCAGCTTCATATCGCACAAACAAAATGTTTTTCAATGAGATATCAATGATGACCGTAAAATTTCTCCGTAATTTTCATCAAACCACATCTTTTGAAACTCTGTGTTACGAGTTTGTCTAACAGTTAACGACTTCTTGCACGAAAATTGTGATAATAGGAACAGGCCCTTGGCTATTGAATCAATTGCGACGTGTAAACATGATGGGTTGCGGTTGCTATGAAATCAAGACAAGCTTTGTATATTATTAAACTTATCACACCAACGATTTCCGCATAACTGAAATCCTTTATTAGTAAGCACATGTACATCTGAAGAAATAAAAATGTTATCATAATATAGATTTGAAACAAAGCAAATTTGATTTAGTCAGAATGTCATTTTTGTGTATCTTTGTAACCAGTTTCTAAGCAAAAACGATAAAAATGGCAATGTACATAGCACCTGAATGTTGAACCATGAACAGCTTGTTCAAGATACTTATACACATAACGTACAGCAAACTAAACAATATCACAAATATTTGCTAATCTGAGTTGTTATTAATAGAACACTAGTCCGAGATGTACACTTGTACTTACATTCTGTTTTGTACCTAAATCGAGTGCGAGCAGCGACGTCAAGTGAACTGTTTAAAATACTTAATGTAGATAAGTCTTTTGGATTCTTTGATTTCACTACTATTATATCCTTATTTAATTTGTGTTTCAAAATGCAACAAACTTGAAAAGCGGCATTGAATGCATATGCAATTAGGATATGAAAGAGATGAAAACAACCAAATACAGATATATCTTTTTAAAACACAAAGGAATAACTCATAGAAAATGATCAGTTTAATTATATAAATACAAAATATTAAGTACAATTTTTGTGGATTTATTGATTCATTAATAATTAAAAAAAATTGAAATAGAAATTAATGTAAAATAATTTATGCTAGGGTTTGAACATAAATGAAAAAATGCCATAATATGAATAGTGCAAATAGAATATGAATGCTTACATATACAAAAATGTTTATATGCAATTATACAAATATTGAAGTTAAAAAAAAAACAAAAAAAAACAAGAGATACATGTATATGAACTGACACATCATAAACATGACCAAATATCTAGTTGACAATTTCTTCGTCGAGCTTAAGGATCTTTCGACAGATGATTGGTTATCCAAACAAACAGTTTCCATGTCTTGGCTGGCTTGGTTAGGTTCTTATATAGCTTCATTGCAGGTAGGTGTGAAACTAAAACAGAATATTCCAGGCTCTTACATAGGATTCTGTAAGATCAATTACTCCTTGTTATGTGAATATAGCAATATTTACATTTAGCTTCGATGAATAAAGAATAACACTGAACCATTAAACTGTTTAGTACCTTGATTATTTGACAAATGTGACTTAACTAAACGTACAATTAATGAAAACCCACAACAAAAACACTTTTATTTGTTTGAAGTATGTGGTATACCTCCGTATTTTTAAAACAGGAATTTGTAATTTACTGTTTCTAAAGAGTTCAGTGCGTGGAAGTTGACCATTTTTCTAGTTCTCATATATCAGCAATCTTCTTTATATCGGCCTAGCTTTCTGATTGCATAGCAAATTATCTATTTAAGGTGTATGAGAGTGTGCATGGGCCAGGTCATGTCTGGTACGATACTTGTCTGATAGATAGAATTATGTTTTGCCAGTACACATTACATTGTGTATTAAAAGCATATGCCGTTCGTTGTTCAGATAAAGAAGTAGGCCAAATAGAAATGTACTAGCTATATTTGTAAGTTGTCCACGTATGTCACTTTTGTCATTTGTCCATATCTAATAGATATATGTTTACATCTTAAGCAAGATACTCATAATCATGGCTTTCATCATAAGGATGATATCTGCGCTTTTGATATGCTGCTTTACAAGTAAGTTCTCTTTTCCTCACATAATGATAATGACTCGATATGTCTTTATGCACATATGTAAGTGCGTATTATGTATTGTTGTTTTACACAGCTGGGATGATTATTACTGAGAGAACGATTATTTAGTCACACTGAATATACTGGTACGATGCAACACTTATTTCCATCCTTCAAGAAATGTGTCAGCCTGTTCGGAGGCGCCATTTGAATATTCTCTAGCACCACAAACCAGTCACCATATACCCATTTCTACGGTTAGCAAGCCACATCCCAATCCCAATATTTAAAACATTAGATATATGAACATTACGAAATTCATTGAATTATAGGGCTAGTGCACCTTACCGCCTAGATTTTCACTTTTGATCACTTTGGACTCTCCTCAGTCGCCTCATAGGCTTCAAAATTTAGGTTCTTGGCATCACTGACGGGTTCTGCAAGGACGAAACAGATGTATGATAAAGCTCAAATCATAGTTTCAGTCTGATGTATCTTATTTAAATTTATATCAAAAGGTGCTATTCACAGGTGTGTCTTTGTTGATGTAGCATGACCGGAGAAATATGGAAACGTCCTCGGATCAATTTCACATTCTTTCATTTGTTCTTTCTAGTGAAAAGTATTCAAGTCTTAATCTATTGTTTCTGCGCACTAGCGCAATATTGTCTTTGTATTAGTAGGATTTATATTGATATCATGTTTTCACCAATCATTAAACATCTGTTCAACGTAGTTGTCACAGTTGTAGCAGACGAGTGTACTTCCTATAGTATAATATCGGAGAATCATAGAAGTACGTTATTCGAGCCAGAAGGAAATGACAAACTTTTATGTGATAGAGCATTGCCAAGCAACTGGTACAGATTCACCAATGGTGAAATGCCAACATCATGTGTTCCAACCTTCCACTGCGGAACACAAGTTCCGGTATGGTTAAATGGTCAGTTACCGAAGGTCCAAGGTAGTAAAGTCACCCTTCAGGCGTGTTACAACTACGGTAAGGGTGTTGATCCCGGAACTTATGGAGGTTCAACTTGTTGTCATATATCGCAACAAGTACAGGTGAAAAACTGTGGGCATTTCAATGTGTATCACCTGGCAAGAACAATGGCGTGTCCTATGGCTTACTGTGCTGGTGAGTTTGTCTTTATGTATAATATGTATATAATGATGCTATTTATCTATGTAAATCTTTATTTCTGTATAACAAAATAAAAGTATTGTAAACTTGATATACCGCGATCCTGAAGTTATACCATGACTTTAGTGCAAAAAGTGCAAAACTCATAACACTAGATTACAAGGTGAAAATTATTGGGAAGTTTTACGGTTGTCATAATGATCTCATTGAGTAATATTCTATTTATTTGTGCGATATCAAGCTTGACATGTTTGATAGAATTAAGAATGCTGAACTAAAGTTCGTTACAAATCGCCTTCAAGAAATATGACAGATTTCTACAGTTTTTCCTTGCTAATAGAAATGATGACAACATATATGACCAAACAAAGGAAAGGCGCTACGTTGTAGGTGTTATTTGTGATCAACTATTGAAGTGATGTGTGTGTTTTCAGGTGATTCACGAGTCTGTCCTATCGGACAATCAAATATTGCATCGCATAATTGCACAGGTAGGTTTCAATCTGATTTGATATTTATGGAAAGGATGAGATAATTTTCGTGTAGTGTGTATGATCAAATACCGAGACAACAGTATAAGCAATTTACATTACCTTACCTATTGCCTTTTTTCTGTTTATTTATCTTTCGTTCATAGTTTTATGTCTTTGCACAGTTTGTACAATACATGTAATCGATCAATGAGTGTGAATTTTGTTGAACAAAAATTGTTATTGAAATTAGTATCATATTCGTTAATAATTGGAAAACTATTGATCGTTTGCGCCTGAATTTTTGTTTTATACAACATGTACATTGTATTATTGGCTGACAATTTAAGAAGCAGTTTTTGTATACTGCATATTTTCTATTTCATGTATCATACAATTGTAGGTGCATCAACTCAAGGTTGTATAAAAGATAACGATTTTTGAGAATATCAATATCTAAAGTCATTGAAATTTCGTCTCAATTTAAGGAGAAAGACAAATGTTCATAACTCGATATTTTATTTAGACTTTGAATGACAACCTTAAAAACGACGTATAACAAATGTAAATATTCTACCGTTCTATTTCTTTTTGTGCACATGTACTTGAGGCTCCTCTGAAATTGTCTGATGTATGACAATTGCCAAATTATTTAATTATGGGTCTGCTTCACCTCCCCGACTAGATTTTGACTTTTCAGTTGATCACTTTGGAATTTTCTCGGTCGCTTCAAAATCCCCATAGGAGCTCTGATTGGCGATATAATCACATTGCTTCCATTACGACATCATAATATCATATGTTGTTATATTTTATGAATAACATTTCGCTATCTGCAGCATTCATCTCTATGAAAGAACATGAACACTATTCGGGGATCGTTTTCTTAATTACTGATGAGTCTGAAAAAATCTTGACATTTAATTCTGACTGATATACAGCGGATTGAGAGTGAAGCATCAGGTTAATTGGTTTAACATAATGATTTATTACACTATATCAATTTAACAGAATATTGCACATCGGTAACTTCAGAGTAAACAGTAAACAAATTGACTAAGTTTTTTTTATGAAATCAACTAACTTAAAATCAATTTCTGGCTTCCTAATTGATAATCAATAAAACAAAATGATAAAGCGGTCAAGTTTGATCGTGTGTTAAACAGAATTGAAAATTGACTTAAATTATATCACTTTGGTTCTAACTCAAGACATGCACCTATAGAAGTTTCAGATATTCAAATCATATACTAGAAGGCTTGAAGATGTTCATTGTATATAAACATGTGATGGTGATATGTTTTTAATAATGCAAAGAAAGATGTGAGCATGTTCAGTGCATTTAAACATGTGATTATGATATTCTCCCATCATTCACAGGCTTGTCACTCGTTTTACTTGTTCAAGATTTTTCTGTCAACCCCTAGGGTATGATTTCTCTGTCAACCCCTATGGTATGACAGATAGCGCGTGCACCGGAAGTGAACTGGACTACTTCTACACACGTCGTCTGCTACATGTATGTAAACAAATACACATGTACGAATTTACCAATAGCTCAAAACCATGTTTGAAATAGGAGACACTGTCAGCATAAGATCTGAAGATAGGAAGGGCAAGATTATTGACACTTTTCACCCTATAGGAACTTATATGATGTATAAAGTCCACATGACTGACACTGGCGAAATAGTACAGCAAAGCATGAACTTGTGAAGGAAATTATAAGCTAAGGCTCTATGAAAAAGTATGATGGGAGAAAAATATTAATCCCATATCTTGAGGGTGTAACAGAGAAATCTCCAACCCCAGGGGTGATATTTTTGGTTGTCCAACCCTCGGCATAGCCTTGGATTAGACAACTAAGAATATCACCCCTCGGGATGGAGATTTCTTTGTCACATCCTCAAGGTAGGGGAAGATTCTATTAGTCTTTCTTACAATAATATTTACTGTATTGCAGAGCTTTACCCTAAAATGACCCACTCCCCTGTAATCGGTGACCCGTATGTTGATTCCGGCGGCACGAAGTGTTATACATGTGGCTGCACAGGTAATGTCAAATTTCCTTGCCATATTCCTTATCCGAAGGGTGTGCCGAATGTTGCGTTTGAAGTTACATGGACTGTTAACGGAGTTCCACTCACGTATCCCGGAACACATCATCCTGTAGGCCAGAATCTTACAGGTGATGAACGAGACGCAACACTCGAAGAAATATATATGCGAGGACACTTAGACACTGAAGTATGTATATGGTTATTTAATTTTACGATATGGACATTTGTCAAATGAAATTTGAAAGATATTCTAAATTTCATATGGAAGGAAAATGTGAATTATATACTCAACAAAAAAAGAAAAGCACAAATTTTCCCCCCGCAGTACACCTTACCTGTAAGGAAATAATGGAATATTTGGTCAGGTATTACATCAATAAATATCTCCCTTATCGACAATATACCCTCAAATCAGCCAAGCGTGACGGTGACGATGTCATTGTCTGACTTTGTGAGCTTCTTTAGTCCAAATCACGCGGCGTGATCAAGCTAGGCCGTGTTTTTTCAAACGAACTATTTCAACGGATACTCTAAGTTCAGCCACATTAATTTTCCTTGATGGCATTTTGATTTCGCCTTTGACCGATATGCCACTCTTAACGTAAATTCAGAGGGGTAGCGCAATTGCGATGTTGAAGGATGGTCATAGCTAAACTGTTGTCGCATGGCAGTTTGGCGTTGCCTCGTGTACAATTAACCGTCTCTATACACGTTTTCTTGCTACAGAGTTAGTTTCCGATCGTCCCAAGAGCGGTCGTCCGCAAGTAATGACCTCACGACAAGACAGGGCGATTCGATTGTCGCACTTGCGCAACATATTCATGAGTGCAGTAGAGACTCTGTCGCAAACGTCAGGTACCCATGTTCAAATTGCCTTGAACCGCTTGTGTGCCGAGAGAGTCGGGCCATCTTTGACACCACAGAGGCGGCAAGTGCGTCATGACTGAATGCGGAGACATGGCCCCGTTGATGCGTCGATGTAGGCGTGTGATGTTCACCAACGAGTCTAGATTCTGTCTGTATCGCTCAGACAGAAGAAAAAGGGTATATCGCAGAACGTTTCGCCGACGCATGCGTGATTGAACGCGATAGATTCGGTGGGGCCTCTGTAATGGTTTGGGGAGGCATCTCCCATGGAGTAAAATCCCCCTTAGTGGTCCTGGATCCAAACCTCAATGCCGGTCGATACGGAGACCAGATCCTCCAACGACATGTCTTTCCATTTCTCAGACGTAATAACCTATTTTACCAGGAAGACAATGCTAGACCGCAAGTTGCCAAAGTCTGTCATGATTTTCTCACGGCAATCAACGTTCAGTCTTTGGAGGGGTCCCATATAGCCCCGACATGTCTCTCATCGAACATTTTGGAATGGGGTTGACAAGCGTGTTAGGAAACTAAGCGCGCCCAGTTGATCGCAGAATTAACACAAGATTGGAAGAACATTCCCTTAAGGCGAATTAATGTTATCATGAATTCAATGCATATGAGGAGAATCCATGCAGGGATTCGTGCAAGAGGTGCCCACACTAGGTATTGACGTGTCATTTTTAGCGGGTATCCCACCATGAGAAACTGCTCGCGACACGAGTGACACCACACAGATTTTTCCTCTGCAGTATTGTAAAGAGTAGACTTGTCCCTTCATATTGATATAAAATTTTGTACAAATTTCGCAAAAAATATCAAAGGTTGTTGATCGTATAATTTAATTGTGCGTTTCTTTCTTTGTTGAGTATGTATATTTGCAGAAGTCGTGCCCTACATTCATATCCTTATCCTATTATGGTTTGTTTCATTGTTGGAATTCCTATGTATACCTCAGGCAGCCGATATGTCTTGTTTTTTTTTTTTTTAAGTTGATAAAATGGTTTAATCATAACGTTTTTATTGTTTTAATGTCAGCCATATTATGTACATACGATAACGTATCTATGTCTTTTCTTCAGCTGCGGTGTGAGGTGCGCTCCTATTATGCCAATAACTACAATGGACCGAAGAGTGACACATTGAAAAGTAACAGTTTCTGGGCTGGGATCCGGGTAACTTCATTTCCTATTAGTACTGGTTTTGCTATGGATATTTAAATCTAATACCGTATGTAAACAGTTACATGCCCCTTTCAATTGACAAGCCGTAATTTGAAAGGGTTTTAGACGGACAGGTAGTTGAATTGACTTTAAAATGGCTTTTAGAACGTATCAAATGTTGTATTTACAGAATTTATTAAGTTTCGTGGGAAGGGGTCGGGAGAAGGATGGGGAGGGGATAGCATAATGTGACAAAACTTCAATGCGTCTGCGCCACAAGTTCAACAATAATATTTTTTTTCTAGAAACATAACAATTCTATAACGGTCGACGAGAAAGGAGACGAACAAGAAATCACACTCGAATCGACTGTCCCAATCCCGTGCAACAGTGCAGTAATAAGATCCTGTTTGTTTGAAGTAGAAATGGGCTTCAGTTCAGACCCATATGGTAAAAATCAACAATTCACTATTTTCGTTGATTATAGGACATTTTTTATTATGCTTAATTTCCAATTAATTATAATTTATCTGAAATTAGAAATTTATTGAATATATTTCGAATTCAGTAGAATTAACCTAGATTTGGAAAACTAATTCCAATTAAATTGTAAGCTATCAGATGAAGTCTATCAGGCCGGCTAAAAGCGTTATCAGTTCTATTCAAAATGGTTTATACGTTATGGATTACCAGTTCACAAAAGCATGGATGTGTCTCAATGTCAGCATACGGTACTTAACTCGACAAACAATGTCATTCGTAATTCACGAATTTGATAAAGAATTACAATTCTGGTATTTGTAGACATTTCAACGAGTACGTGTGAATATGAACTAAAATGCGATAACACTACCCATAAGTACTCTACCACCGTCAAGGTCGTTGCCACAAGAGATTTTGTTAAAGATGGTGACCAGCAGCACGTGCTTGCATTCCGACCACTATTCCGACCAAATTCAATGTGGGACGGCTACAATATATCTTCAATCCAGGTGATGTATTATCTATATACCGTAACCTTGATCTCATTTTGACCTTTAACCTACATCAAAGAAAAATGTCAAGGCGCAACGTCCTGCACTACTTTTTACTGGAACATATACTTACATAGGTTAGATTATGTGTCATGTATCAGAATAGGTCACTGTGACCTTCATTTCTATGTTTGGCCTACAACATAGAGAAAGGGATGTCTAAAGTCCGTTTCATATTCTGTTGAATTCACTTGCATTTATAGCACAAAATGTAATTGAATTATAAAATGCCGTGGAAATTATGGTGTCAAAGGATGCAATTGAATGAATAAACGTCACAACATACATGTACACGTATCTTTCCATTAGATTTAGTTGCAATATTAACTTAATTTTGTTACCCTTTACATGTATTACATTAGGCTGGAACTGTACCTCACCGAAATATCTTATTTTGCATGTTAAATAATTTGAGTACGTCACAAGTGTTATATTACTGCTCAAAAACTCAAAAAATAAATATCCAATACGGCTGCATCGGGGCAAGAACTGTTAAGAATTCCGACAGTGAATATTTTTGACACCAAGATTATCTCACATTATATGAAACAGTTGTAATTTCCCTTCGTCTAGCTTTCCATATTTGTAGCCGTCTTGCTGCAACTCTGTTCATTATTCAGAGTATACATTCTATACAATTTCTGTAATCGTATAATTTCGAACCTATGTGTGATGTATTCTTTTTGTATACGTATATAAACTTGGTTACGGTTTGTCCTTTTCACCAATTTTGACACTCCTCTTAATTCAACAACTCGCATTCGCTTCGCTGCTTAGAATATATTTAGCAATTAATCCTACTGAAAGATTCGTATACATGTATCTATTATTTTTTTTTATATCTTGTCAGAAGTCTTTCCTAGAATAACGCCCTTTACATATAAATGCTAATAGATTATTTAGATCCATGATTATTTATTGACATAACGGAATACTACTTTTGTCACTATACTATGACTGATAAGAGGCACATGGTGTGTGTGCCAACAGACACTACTGCTCGATTTAATGGATATTCTAATTCCTTCTTATTGTTTTGTTTTATTCAGAAATATGTGTTACTTATGATTGTATAAGAACATTACTTTTTGTGAATATAGATAAGATCAAAGGACAGATCACATGCCACTTGCTCGGCAGTCTCGGATCCTCATGTGATACAAGTTGAACATAACAAGTGAGAAAGTTTATGCAAGCGGTGGTAAGACAACAATATATACAATGAAAAGTGTGGCAATTAAAACGAATACCAGGTAATTGAGTAGGACGGTAAGAGGTGAAAGAGATAAAACAATAGCGAATAATACTTTTATAAACTGTAAGATATATCAAATTAGACACTATCAGGTAGGAGAATTAAAACAACAGCTTAAAAACTAGAACAATAGAATTGAAACAATAGTAAGTAACGGTGTTACGGTAATGTCACTGGTGTAGTTTATGATTTTAAATAATTCTAAAAATTAATCGATGTTATATTGAACGTTATTTTGGACAAGCTGTTAATAGCACTGTTAATTGTTTATCCTATTTTGTAAATTATATTTTTCTTTATTAATTACAGAAAGCCTGTCAACATTTTCAATGTAGGGAATTTGGTCTTGTATAAGAGCAAAGTGAGACCATTCGAGGTAATATTAATTAAGGATAGTTCTCCATAAAACAACTAAATATAATATTTTATTTAAATGGCCAAAACGTCATTTTGATATTAGACCATTCGAGGGTACATTAATTAAGGATACTATCATCATGCAACGGAAGTAAAACTCCTTTTTTGATAAGCAATATTTTTATATACTTTGTATCAAAAACCATAGCCGCTATAATATCCTTTGCAAGATGTTCAATTTATTGGAAACTATATTCACCAATCCTGGTTTAGCTCCAAGGGATTTATGTAGTTATGATTAGTGGATAAGTCACAATAAGAATATACACATTCTTCTGTCTCAGTAACAAGTTTGTAATAAGTTTGCTATTGTTACTCTAAGAAACATGTAATTACAAATGCTACGATACTACACATAAACGTATGCAATCAAATATATAACTATATGATAGTGATGACGGGTGATATTGATTTAAATAGAATTAAGCATTGTTTAGCTAAGATAGTTTTGATGTGGTAATTTGATGAGTATTATACGTTTGTTATAATTATGAAATAAAACGAAATATAAATGTCTTTTATTCTAGGTCCAAATAACGAATTGGCCTTGTGGAAGTTACAGCCCTTGTATATGTGCCGTAGCTGCTCGTGAAGGGAACGACTACATACAGATTGATATGTGTGCTAAAACGAGGAACCAGTTGAGTGCTCCTGAAGTTACATATCCATCTGGGCCGCTTACTGGCGGCACAACAGTTGACCCAGAAAAAAATGGTAAAACCTTACATGTAAGTAAATATTGCGAGATGAATCTTTTGCAAGCGAGATATTTAACTATAATCTATAAAATACAACTCATTGATAATTCAATACATACTTTTACCATCTCCTTTGAGTGATATAATGCCGAGGGACACATTAAAATATCATTTTCAGCCTCGGAATTTTTGATGGTGTTTTGAGATAATCCATTCTTTGACCATGTCTACTGGATATGCCTACCAGATTAAAAAACCATGGACACTATATACTCGTCTACTTCAGCCGCCTACCTTAATTTCGATTTAAAGATAGCCACAACCCTGAATCTACAAGGGCGTGTTCCTATTACCACAATTTCAATAACTGATGTCGACAGCTGACAGTAAATATAGTCGATGAATTTTAAGAACATTTTGTGCTATATTTTGTGAGATAAAAGTTGATGAAGACTATGAACAGTAGTTTGATTGCCACTGTGATCTGACTGGAAAATGTTTTATTTCTAATTTGTTTTATGAAGTTAGACATGTTCTATACTCGTCAGTGCAACAAGTGATTTTGTTGCTCTAGTTCTCATTTGAAGACATAATGTTACATAAATTGAAGAATGAATCTAGAAGGCGGCTATGGTTGATGAAGCAGATGGTTCTGAACGCTTAACTTTCAATAACACAAGGTCGCATTATTGCATCCTTTCAGGGTCCTCGTTCAAATATTTCCTTAGTCAGTATTTTGTCCTCGTTTTATTGACCTTGAATAAAGTTACGTTTTCATAATATATATTCGTATTCCATGTTCAGTTGTTTAGCAAAGATTAACAACAACGCTGCTTTATTATACTTAAGTGATTTTTTTCACTTTTTATTTACATTCTCTTGAAATTGTATTATTAATAGTTGAATCATTTTAGATACATTTTCCATCTGGTGCCAGCCTTATGGTTTCTGCAGCTTTGCTTACACGTAATGGTAAAGAAAAGGACGGCTATCTTAATGTATACCTAAAAGTGCCTACAGATGACATTGGGAATTCAGAAGGGATATGTGGGACATATGACGGGAATCCAAACAACGATCGATTAGGAAGTGATGGACTACAACATCCAAGCGCTATTGATTTTGCCAATTCTTGGCTGTATGAGTCATTATTATTATTCTATTTACGAATTTATTGTTGTGAAAGAATTAATGGAGTTAATTTGCTATAATCGGATGTAAACTTCATATTTGGTATTGCTGGTATTCATATGAATTTGTATTGTTATAATAGCGTTATAACAACAATATGAAAATGCCTCTTTAAAGAAAGATCTGCAACACATATATTTGTTATTTGGGGATGAACATTAAGATACTAGGGTATAGATAAAGATGAATTTAAAAAAGATGCGTTATGATATTCAGCTGTGAAAACGTTAACTACCTTCTAAGATGTTATTTACGCATCTTCATTAGCTTGTCAGAAAGCAATGACTACAAACTGAGAGATTAAGGTATACTGAGCATTTATGAAAATAGATAAAAGTAAACAATTGAATTGTTCTGAAGCATAACTGCTTCCTTTATTTTGGAATACGATAACAAATATATTCTACTTCCAGCTTTAAACGATTGTTTTGTATATTATTATTTGAACATCAGGTTTCATAGAACGAATGCAGCCTACGAATCACGTTTGCCTGGTAGATTGGTTTCCGAGGTTTGCCGTAACTGAATGCAACAGTTTAATTGATTAGAGTGTGGCTCGATTCATAATATACACATGCACTTGACGTTCTTTTAAAATGACCAGATATATGAAACTTATGAATTTGATTGAATTATAGGGCTAGTGCTTTTCCCTTTCTTGTTCCTCATATATGTTTCGGTCAGTTCTCCTAGTCGCTTCCTCGGCGTCAATACTTAGGTCCTAGCATCACTGATAAGTACCAGAAGGACAAAACGGCGGTATTATGCAAGTTAATTCACTTTTTCACCTGATCTATCTGTGAGGCGCTCTTTACTTGTGTGTCTGTTTAACAATATGTATTTTTTTTGTTATTCAGAATACCACCTAAGTACAGTTTTTTTGAAAACCCTCCGTTGCAATCTACTGCTTACAATCATAACGACGCCAACTACTGCCAGTGTGATAATGCAACATCCCAGGCTATATGTACAAAATCTAAGGCATCTAATCCACTAGCACAGGTAGGCCTGATAATAATATTCTTTTAAGCCAGTCTTTTAGTACTGGTACTCTACCTGTACAAAGAAAAATCAATTAATTTTTCGCACTGCTACTAACATGTCTAAAGACCAGCCAGTTCTTTAGCACGGGTACTAATATATAAGGTATAACCAGACAACTCTTTAGCACTGGTATTTATATCTATATAGTTGTACCAGACAACTTTTTAACAATGGTACTTATATATATATAGTATTACAAGCCAACTCTTTAACAATGGTACTTATATATATCGTAGTACCAGACAACTCTTTAGCACTGGTACTTATATATATATATATATATAAGTACATGCCAACTTTTTAGCACTGGCACTTATAGATATATATTTTGATATTGCGGGGACCATGGATTGGGATTAGAGGGGATAGAAAGATGTGGGAAAGGCAATGTTTTCATATTCACCTATAACACTTTTAAACTTTTCCAGAATACCGGTAAAAAACCACGTCGCCACATTGGTACTTTCCGATGGGGACAACCTCGTGGTCACCAAGATTACGCCAAAGAAACTGGAATCCGCCGATATGCCAAACCAGGTACTGTTTACTGAATTGGGGAAAAACTGGGACAGTTGTGAAGTTTTAATTAATGTAGTTTTTAATGTCATACTATATGTATGATAGCCCCACACCAGTCACATGACTCGAATTATCATGTTCCGTCACTCTTAATGGAGTATTGTGCAAGCACCCCTATCCCTTGAGGACTTTCAGTAATCTCTCTGTTAAAACGATAACCTGGTGAATGACCGGACATGTTTTAAACTTTCGGGGAAGTTATGATACTTATCATTTATACCCTTTCTTTCTAGAAACGATTTTGAACCAGGCATTTCGTCTATTATCACAATTTTACAAATGCATAAGTTGCAGCAATGCAAATGTCATATTCACAACACTCATTTATCATATCGGCTCAAAATACCTGCAGGGTAATATGTATAAGCTGCATCTCGTTCCGTACCAAACCACTTCCAATGCTCACCCACTGTTATGCGATTCAATCTATAATATGATGACCAAGGAATGGATGTCTATTGGGATATCGTATTTTTTCATTGGGTCATTCATGCTGGTACCTACCTTTGAGGGTTGCTTAAGTTTTGTATATATTTTTATCAAAGATCTTTACAAAACAAACAACCACATAATGACAACTTTTATTACAAGTCTACAATTATTTTAAAAATCAACACAGAATAGACATCTTTGTGCACATTCGTGAGCATTAGTCAAAATAGCAGAAGATGAAAACCTACCAGGAAAACAATAGCATGTTCGGTAATATAGGTCACAAAGCCTTATTCTATTTGTTCGATATCGAAAGACATTTTTGAATTGAAAAGAAATACACAGAAGGAAGCAGAGGGCAGCTGTCACGCGTAGTGGAATGACGGAAGAAATGGCTAGAAAGACGTGCACCGACGACATTCGTCAAGCCACGTTGTTCACGAGATGTCAATCCTTATTGCCATCGGTTATGGTAGAGAAATACATTGGAGCATGTGTGGAGGATATGATGGTAAGGAATTTACATAAATTTGTTCTTAACTCCCGGTTTTAAGTATATAAAAAAATATATATAATCTAGTAAGTAATATCGACGGTATGGTCCAAAATTGGTACTAGATCCTAACAAACAAGCGTTCCATGAATGCGTATTACTGGAATAAATATAAGATCGATAAAGTAATGACGTCAGTACGGACAAGTAACATGTAACATTTTCGAAGCAATTTAAAAAGGTAATCTGACATGCGCCACAAACTTAAACAATTGATTGAAGTTGGTTTGCATAATGGGAAATACTTTATATTAGAAGTTAAGCATGATGAAGCATCAAAACAGCATTATACATATGACCATCACTAATAATGACGTCAGTTTAGGAATACTGTTATTCTTATGTCACCAACTAGATATGTATAGTAGACGTTACAATTTGTATCTGCTAGTTTAATGCGACACAACAGTCATTATGCATGGCTACAGTCAATATTTGATTTTGAAGTGATGTTTTATAAGATATCAATCGCAGAAAAGTTAACTTGGCATGTTGAAGAATCTGTGTGGTTGATAATCACAAAGATGAAAAAGCCACATGTATATGTATCTATTTGTTCAATGCATTATAGCAGTCACAACATATAATTTTGACTTGATTGATAATTAATAAATTTGTGAACCTGGCGTTATTAGTCAAACGTATCATTTCCATTGCAGATTGCAGACAGTGACATCTTTAATATTGGGTATATGAATGCCATTGACTTTGAATGTCAAGATACTGTCCTTCGAGACGTTCATAATTACGCCATAGGGCCGGATAGAAAGAGAATACCACCTGCTGACGTAACAACTCACTTGTGCCCGAATCAATGCAACAGACGTGGCTTATGTCAACAGGGGGTGTGTAAGTGCCAAACCGGTTATATTGGTGATGATTGCTCGGTTCAGTCAGGCGTGACTCCAGTCGTCAGCCGTATTCGCGGGTATGTATTTCCTGTTCTGATGTATTGACGAGTTTGCTAAATATTTCGTATAACCGTTCCCCTACTCGCTGAAGGGCATACTTTTTTTATTTCCTTTAATCTATGAAATATGGTTGTTTTCCTACAAAGATGATATATATCATTTGAACTGATCAAAATAGTCCTTCCCTTCGTTGGTCTATTTCTCTCTCTTTTATCTTTAAGCAATGATTATAGTGATATTAAGTGAATGATAAATATTGCACGAAATGAATTTTGAAATCAAAGTCTTTGTGTACTTTAAAAAATGTCTTTTATTGCAAATGGAAGCTGTGTTTATGCCATTCAGAAGATTGCACGAAAGGCAATATGTGAATAGCAAGTTTCAACATAACTACAGATTTCAAAACTCTTTTTCTCAAGATATGATAGAATGACATACTTTACTTAGATAAATGTGTCTTTACCACTACAGTTTTTAGCGTAATTTATTTTAGTTCAAACATGGTAAAAATCCTAAAATGGGATGGCGTTATCCAGAGTTTACATTTGCATTACGAGCAAAATGTAGCTCAAGTTCCTTTGTTGCTGTTAACACGAATGCTTCTAAGACACATTAAAAAAGACTGTACTAAATTCACATAAGTGAATATCACCTTTCATTAGTGTCGAAAAATTCAGTAAACTGCATCATACAGCTGTGTCGTCCTTCTAGGGCTTAGATGATATAACTGTTGATGTTTCTGATCACATTTGATGAACTAAAGAATAATCCCGATTAGGACAACGATAGCAAAGTCTTTGCTGTCTCTATAAACATTCGTAACAAAATATGATACCCTAAAAACATAGTCTATTAACCTTGTTGTTTTGTCAGTGGCGGTCTATGTGACGTCAGAGACAGAAAGTGCATGAAAGTTCAGGTGATCGCTGAACATTTGATAGCGGGGCCAAACCTGAAGTGTCGCTATAAAAAAGCGGAGGTATGAATATCACATTATTGTTTTCATATTAATGGCCTTAGGAATAATCTATGTCTAACGTTGCTATGCATTGTAACATGACAATCATAGATAAGTATCTGTAAAACATCACCGTTATGACGGGGAAAGTTTGACTATGTATACATCGCCTTTTTTGTTAGGTGTCACGTTTTAAGACAAGAAATATATCAGTTACGATTGTTTTGCTGTACAAATGACAATTAAATACAGCAAATAGCACTTAAATATGTAAAATGTTTCTTTATGTCGTATTGTGGCTTTGTGAAGCGTTTCTATAACATTTTTGATGTAGGCACGAATGTTAAACACTTCACAGTATTGCTGTCGAAGTTTTTACACTTGATACGAAAAGTATTATGACTGGACCAAAGTTGGAATTAATTAACAACATAATAACACTGCAGGATGTCTTAATTAGAAAAGGATATTCGAAAGCCACAGATATGAAACATACCTGTAGATATAAATAGGAGAAAGTATCCCTAACATTCCGTGAATAGAGTAGTGCAATTCATACAATTTGATAGCTATTATGGACCAGAAAAGAAGACAGTTCTTTTTTTATCACTGGCTTATCGGAGAAGTTGGAAATGTTCTGGCCAACCAAGCTACAGTTTTCCCGACGAAAAAAATAACTGCTTCACCAGTTGATGAAATCCACTATTTATTGATAAGAACTGTTCAAGCAATAAAAAACTTTTGAGCCACATGTTTTAGAAAGAGTCCCATCAATCTTTAACAAAATATTAATTTATCTGCATTCAGATATGATCTTTCCCAAAGTAAATGAAATCCCTTCCTTACTTTCTCATTGTCTAGTGTAATGTTGCTTGTTGTATTGTCGGAACCTTCGCTCTTATCTATGTTTGCAAATATATAAACATTTTTTTGTCGTTTGAAGACACAATTGCAAAGTTATCTGGTACTACGATAATATATAAATTAATATGATATCTATAGCCTGACATCCTTTGTTTCTCAAATTTAGTAAAAAAAATATAACTTTACATAAATGATAAAATGAAATGAGGTAGAATAAGAAAGAAAATCAATAATACATAAATACAGAAAAAAGTTGTTATGGAGAAGACTAGACTGTGGCATTATTCTGATTCTGTAGAGTACACTATCTATCGTTAAGAATGGAGATGAAAATGTAAAGGTATATATTATGTTTACCGACCAGGTTGGTGGTAGCAGGCTGTCACCGTATGGGTCCTACTTCGATGTCCCTGCATCCTTTACCAGCTTTCTAGAGGTCGAGTGTAGCTTACCTGAAAGCGCTGTGTTAATTAAAGGTAAATCCATAATAAATTATTGACCAAGTTTTTGAAAACTTGAAATATGTCAAACAAATCATTTTCGTAATTGCAATATAACTAAGACCAAGATTTATGCAAGAAGGTATTGATGAACAGAATGAGTATCTTATTTTCTCTATATGAAGATGCGCTTACCAAAAATCCTTGATATGAAGTTAAAATTAGTTGCTTGTACCCACGTTACTTAGTAACTGAACAGTCACGTCACTCTTGTTCAAGGTTTCTTTAACGGAATGTTTATCCTGAAAAGTTATTGCTCATCCCAAACCTACAATCCTACAATCCCATAAAAAATTTGCAATCCTATCAAAATAAAGTAGCATACATAGCGATATATAATAGGATGTATGAATAACTCCATATTTGTTATTATCGAAACTTTACCTTATTTAATTTTCTGAGAATCCGATTTAATTATCTGAATTATGGAGTCTGTGATGCAGTTAATTATATAAGCTCAATTCGTGTTGTTAGGATTAGGAATACAGTTGTGCTACAGTAACATCTGATCATGTGTTCGTTTTTCCAATGACATAATGATTGTACAAAAGAAACACAATAAACGGCATCATACAGCTGTATCGTTCCACCAGTACTTCTAAGTAATGCAAAGACCAAAGCATTAATTTTGAGGCTTAAGAATTGATCGAAAGAAATACCATTTTCTTACTCCATAATAAGATTCATTTTGTAATTTTCATATATCTATTTTAGACGTATGTCAAGCACATGTGTATATTCTGAACTATGTCACTATTCAATAGAAGTAAAACGTGGCATTCAGGTTACGGCAAACTTCGGGAACTGAACGACCCCAAGCGGTGTCTACCATCTAACATTTAGACGACACGCAAGTGAATAGTATCTTCTCATAAGTGAATATTCTGAATACCGTTCCAGTCTTCAAATGAATTACAACGCGGCACGTAGTTTACAGCAAACCTCGGAGTCAACCAGAAGTCAATATTGATGTGAATCTAGAAAAAGCCCATGCCGAATTGCCCCAATGGCAATGACTGAATGTTCGCCACAATTCTTACCGCAGTGTACATCGGTCAACCTATAGCAATATGTTAGAGTCGGACCATACACTAGTAGATTGATATATATTATACTAATTTACCAGCTATTTCCGTATATTAGATTGTCATTTATCACAATGGTATTATTGGTCAGAATTTAGAAACCCAGTAAGTGACCGAGGCAGCAATGATCGAAAGAAATCATATTCCTTTCCAAAGTGATACAAATTACCAGCATAACATAATGATGTGCACCCTCCAATTGCATACGGCATTTCCTTGTGATGAAGTTTAACCTTTTGCTATGTAAGGAAGGAAAGTTTGTGTAAAAAAATCCATGATTTCAGACGGATTCACAAGAAAAGTGGTTCACAATTTAAGTATTGTAATTGGAGGTACATCTTTGTGTCTTTTATGTCATTTTATACTCTGGTATCGATACTATGTTCCTATGTTATAAAATTCTTGTAAAATCACAAACTTTGAATTTTGGTACACAGTATCATTATAACATCAGCATTTTCCATCGTTTGACCATTACGACTTTCCATGTTGATGAAGAACTTTTTGATTTGAACTTGTCTTTTTAATTCTCTCTCTTTAACGTAGTTATGCCTTTTTTCAATAACGAAAATTTCTGAAAAAATGTCTTTCTTTTCTCAAGTCATGGATTGTACGAAAAACACAAGTGATTAGCACATCCATTTCAAATTTAGTAACGTCTTCACAATACAGCAAGTACTCCTTGAGAAGACAATATATCATATCCTTTGTGTCAAATACTGCTCCCTGATGGTTCAATGCCTTTTTAGTTAATGCTTTCTTAACCGCAGTTCAAGGTAGAAGATATGCCGGGCTCCTTGTCCATCAGGATGATCGAAGATACCTTGGTTTTGATCAAGTTTTGTTGATTACAAAGGGAATGATAGAGCTTTGTGTTATTACTTAATTGGTCTGTTTTCATGGTATATTACGATATCATTATTCTTTGACAGGTAGATATATGTATAATGAGGAAAGGGCATGCTTTAATTGTTTTCCTTTTTACAGACAGCACGCGTGATGCCTTTTTGATGTCTGTGACAGCCGATGGGATACTCTATAGCGCAGAACACACATTCCTGGTCTACGACGGTCTTTGTCAAAACTGTAATATATCTGGACATTGTACATTAAAGGTAAACAAAGGCGATGACTTACGTCGTAACCTGCATGCCACGTTTTATAATGTATTCGTTAACAGCACAGCTCAGAATATACACATGTACTTAACGATCTTTTGAAATTATCAGATGCATGAAACTAACGAAATACGGGAGAAGTGCACTTCCTCGTTTAAATTTTGACATGACGAATCTCTTCACTTTTGTGTCATTTGTATAATCTTTTCAATACATATACGTGTTTCAGGGCATGTATTGAATAATGGTGTGAGGCCTAAAATGGCGATCCTAAGCAAAATTTCACAGAATAATACATATTTGGTTTAACAAGTTGCTCGGGCGAAGATGAATCTAGAAATGCCATGATTTATTTTGCAAGCCTATAGATGTATGTAAACATCTAGCTCGAAAACAAAGACAAGAGCAAATTAACAAATTCAACAATCATTTAAATTCCGTCAAGGCCAACACTTGCCTAATAGACAGAGAATGTCGACGTGAGGGAGAACAGAATGGTGACGGTGGTTACTGTGATCCACACGCTGACCCTTATGGATGGAGTCGGAGTTCCGCTGCGACAGGTGAGTTATTCTACTTTCATTATGTTTATTCAAATATTCACATAGCACTGTATATAACAAGAATAAGGCGGTTGTAGTATATACAGTTATAATCAACACTTCCAAATCTATCAATACAGCTTTAGAAAAGACCAAAAGAGGGGCGAGAGCGCAAGTATATGACAATTCTGTATATGTGAATTTGTGAAAGGTTTTCATGCATTGAGACTACAATCATGACAGATTAATTTAGATTAACTGATATGGATGTAATACACCAGTATTAATTTTGACAATTTCAAGCTATTTTGACTTGAGTGATTGAACTCTTGCTGTTTGTTTGAAAAAGTTTTCTTAACATGAAACGAAATATTTCAGATATGTTTAAGATATAAATGCTCCACACATACAATGCATTAAAAAAATATTAACCAGCATAATCAAAACAACAATCACAAACATCACCCCGTTCCATTGCAACGAACTTAATAAAGACAATATCAGGAACTGGGGCCGTTACTCCTATTTCTTTACCTCCCACATTACCATTAGTTTCACTTTATTTCATGTTTTGCATTTGCACTGCATACCGTCGTACCTATGTAGTCCTATGTATGCCATTTTCCATTAGGTTTAGTGTATCCCTAGAACTGTTTTGTATGTTGCACACCGATAACCGTAATAAATCTCACAACAACAATTATGGTAAATATATTATTATAAAAACCATATGAATACATTTATAAATGGTATTCTGCTTTCCTGTGCGAGATAGTTGCATCAAGATTCACACTGTGGCAACAACTGGGGAAGGCCGGGTGAATACAAATGATGAATTATAGTTTTAGCTACTTTGTTAATACAATTGAGGCAACCAATTGCTCATACAAAGGCTGATGTTATTGCAAGATGAAAAAATTCCTTATACTTTCGTGTAAAAAGTACTATGGGACCATTTCATTTTTGCTATCTAACGTCTCTAGAACGTATAGCTTTCCATATAGGTTACGTAGGTTCGTATAATAGATATAAGTTATTTTTATCCTGTCAGAAATAAACCACTACACGGCGTCTGGGTCTGGATGTCAGTGTGGCTACGACCAAGTGAAGTTTGATTGTGCTTGCTGTACCAACAACGGCTGCCAATGCGGATACACCAACCCTCACATATGTATCAATTGTGACCACATGACAAGCTGTTCAACATACCCGGAGATCATTGTCGCAAGATAAAACAGAAATTCCTGTTTATCTATGAATAAATAAATAGATGAAAATGCATTTCCACGTTCTGTATTATTAATTGAATGTAGGTTTCTTATTAAAGACCTATGATTAATAAACGAATATTGCTTTCTATTCAATTTGATTTGAAAGTGCAGTAATTTCATCGTAAGCACATACTTCCAACATTGTCCTTTGTTTTACTAATGAATTTTGTTATTTTTCCCTGCCAATGTCCAACATATCTAGTAAAAGCAGGATGTGATGATGATAATGATGGAACCGAAATACCATTTTCAAATCATATTTGCATATACCAGGAACTTTATGTGCTGAATGTTATACCATCACTTTTTGAAGTAAGGTTAATGTTATACTCTAACTGGTATTGCGGTTCATCGTTGTACACGTACACCTTTTCTACAGATCGCGAGCTTTATGTTTTACATATTTCTATAATGAGCTGTGGCTTTTATCTTAACCTTTGAAACTGAGCTTATCTTGGATGATAACAAAACACAAAACAAGTTAATCAACACATTTGTATACATCATTTTAATTATCACATTTCAAAATACAAACATATAAAATGTTGAAAGATTATATTGCATTCGAGTTATTTCAAATTATGGATACATAACAAAATACGTTGAACATGATTACTTCGGCATTTGATATTGGTATCCGTGTTATCTGGCATTTCATTTTTATGTAGGATAATTTAATATCAGGATAAGATGATACATGAAAATAATACAAAGACATGACACTATCATTAATTAAACGATGGACGGAACCGATATATATTTTGGAAACATCATCAGCATCACATTTCTACATTTCCGAAATCGATCAAAATAAATTTCCTTTTGGTTGATTCAAAGTTCCCCATTATATAGGTAGGTTTCATTAGTTTATCTAACGTGTGGTTTATACTTTTAAGTTCATCAACTTATGCCACATATGTGATTTAAACTACTCCAAGTTTATAAAATACTTAATATGTATTAAAAGTTGCTGTTCAGATATGTGTCATTTGTGAATCTTTAATATAAATAATGTCACACGTGAATGAAGTTTATTCGACAGCATCAGAATAATACGTGTTAACTCCAGTCACGCAATATCATCACCTTCTTATCGGGTAAAATAAATAAATATAGAAATGATTTTGGATAATTATTATCCTTGTTTTAGATTTGTATGAATTGACATTTGGAAGCGCTCAGAAATTTCAACAGAGACGAAATTAATAACACCACGACTCACAATTATTTACATAACTACTATCGTATAACATTCTTTTTGTAAGGTTTAACATGTTAAAAGCGTGGATAAGTTTTGATCAATGCTTGTTCAATTTTGTGGGAGTTTTTATATACATAAATGTTGATTAAAACTGAATATTGTGTGTCTTTAATATGGAATAGGTGACCATAATTCTGCTAACACTACATAAATAAGCATTCATTATACTAAAGTGTGATATGGAATATCAAGAACATTGCTAATGTGCGATGAACGGTATTGTGCTAAAATGAATGTGAGGACTACTTCTTAAAATTAATAAAATTAAATTGTTACATTTGGCAGCCCGATTTACAGGAAATAATTAATGGACGGAATTGTGTCGGTCGTGACTCTCGATCTCTTAAAATAATAATAATAATAAAAAAAACAAAAACAAATCCCCCCCCCCCCCAAAAAAAAAAAAAAAAAAAGTTATCGTGACCTTGATTATATACTTTAAATATACATCAAATTGCAATATTAAGGAAATACATCCATATCAGAAGACTGATTGTTGTAAATTTTATTATGAATATAATCTACAAGTTTTTCTACAAGCATGAAACTAACCATCGCAAGGACGCTAGTACCATCGATCGGATGTACAGGGACTCCTGTTTTAACTATTGACTAGACATAGCGATGTCGTTCATGGAATTTTTTAGCTAAACTTTAAACATCCATCGGGAAAGCTTGAACACTTCCTCGCCAGAATCAACATAATCTCCTAGACAGATTTCACCATCAGTACGGTAATGATTATACAAAAAAAAAAAAAAAAAAATTCTCAAACATTTACCAAGCTATGGCTTGGATACATAGATATCCTGGACCAAACTATGAGCAATTTCCCGACCAAATTTAACTAACCGCGACGAGGAAAAATGGGAATTGAAACAGAAGCGTTATATACATAACTTTAATATATTCACCAAAATCCGTTGTAGGACATCATTTAAAAAACTACAGTTAAAATAAAACGGCATAGAACGTTTTTTTTTTATCACAGACCAGAAGTAAAAATAGTCCACATGTAAAAGTTATTTAACGACTTCATTAAAATATTATCACAGTTGTTAGTTCTAACATAAAATACCCAGAATTTAAGTTTATGTGCATCATAAAGAAAACAAATTCAATATAAAGCTTCAATCAGATTGAGCATAAACAGCATGTATGTCCTAATATAAAAATCGGAATTACAGCGGATGGAATATACTGTTTATATTAACGTTATGCAGTATAGATATGTGGAATGTTTGAGTTACATAGAGAAGCAGCATACCAATTTTAAAACCACATAAAACTATCTTATGATGCTATTACACTAATTTTACTTACAATAAACTAAACCATAGTGATAAAACTACATGTTATCTCGATTTATAGCGTGGCTACGATCTTTATACTACAGTATACACAAACCGAAAACTTTATTAATAGAGATCGTGATCTGAAGTCTTCACAACATACGTAAAACTTTTAAAGCCGAAGCCAATCTTATAACACCGATAACAATAGGGTACATTTCATTTTTATGATTATATAACAAAATACATAAAATTATTTAATTAGGTATCAAAGTATAAGTTACATTAAATGATAATTATCATATTAACCATTGATACATCTCAGCAGATTCCATAGGCCACACTTACATGCAACGAACAACATCAATAGTAAGGTAATTTACTATAACATTCATAAAATAGACAGCAATAAGATTTACCAAATCTTTCATGTCTTTGTTACAAATGAACTAGGTAGGTGTTTAATGTCGATTATGGAATACACTGAATGTTTTTAGGATAATTTAGAGTATCACCAGAAGAACCATATCTAAGAATGGGGTATTCAAAAATTTTTGTTAGTATGACATTATGTATCATTTTGTTTAAAAGAGAACGGAAATAGAAATATGAATGTATATGTACACGTAAGTGTTTGAAAGGCAAGCGTTTGTGATAATACTACTGATGATTTGATATTGATTTGATATGTGTCATGGAAGAAATGTGAAAAAGAGGATTCGTTCTATAGATTTTCGAGACAGCCGCCAGCGTTGTCACATGTGGTTTGAAAATGTATTTTAAAAAAAGTGTTAATAAGTCATCATATAAGCATTGTGTCATAAAGAAATATTTATCTAAACATGAACAGACATATATAGAAACATATCAAGACTTATAATTACCCTAACACAGTACCGGGTAATAAGGCATGACAAACACTGCATAAAAACATGGGTAACAAAGAGCAAAGATTAAGCGAAACCTGTATTTACCGATATGAACAGATTGGGATCCTATAGGTGGATACACTACAAATAACATACCAATAATAAAAAAATCTTATTTCAAATGTTCAGAATGAACATTGTAACATTTCCATGTTTGGATGATCGAGAAAGCATACTTTACATATTGAACTATAAAACAAGAGAATGGTAAATCGATTAGTTCGATAAAACATTTCAAGTGTGGTAACGTGATCATTATTTTCCAATTCCAACAGATATCGCTCTTTCATCAAGACCATCACTAATATATCGTTATCAACTACACCCTCATCATATATACAGCGAAATGAGCATTAATTGGGAGTATCCGAATTAGACATCTTCCTGTTTTTGTTTCCCAATTTATCAATTCAAAAAACCCTTATTTAAAAAAAAAGTAATCGTGATGGTTCTTTTTTAGAAAGGAAGCTGATAATATATAATAATAAATTTGATGATATGGCAGAAAGGTACGTCATATAATATGCACATGTTATTTCGTGGACGCAATAGCTTTAAGCGATATATTATTTTTCCAACTCCCCCTCCGTAACAACAAAAACTCTAATAGTTTTTGGTACTGAGGAAAAACATTTACCGCGTGGATCTGATACAGGGCCATTGAATTGAACCCAGCATCTCAGGTCTAAGTATTGCTGTATATATTTGAAACAAGATAATGGAAAACTTTTGGGAGATATTACATTCAGTGAACACGTCAAAGAACTTATATAGATACAATGCAACATTTTTGTTAAATGACTGCCTCTATTCCGTGTCAGTTTTGGTTATACAATACAATGACGTCAATTACATCACAGCAAGGACTAATCTTTTTAAGACAGCTATAACTCCAAGGTATATCATTTACCTGTGCTCTTATCAGCAGAGTTGGTAATTACTTACTGATAGAACTAAACTATACTTTATTGCTACGTTGGATAAACATTATATTGAAAGTACTTAATTTGGCCCTCTCCATCGAAACACAGCGCAGGTACCGTATGGTTCTCCATTTGTACAAATGTAATGGTAATGATAAACATGCTACACTGAATTTTTAAGGTCATCATCGAAGTAGTTACGATAACGAAAGGTCACCTGGCACTCTCCATTGCAGCACTACTTGACCAAGACTGTTGAAGGAGAAGAGAGTCCGGTTCCTTATGACGAGCTGACGGTGATCTTGTTAGCCTCTGTTTGCTTCGAGGATTTTTTCTAAACGTGGAAGACCTGAGAAGTAAATAATTGCAATAAAGATATAGTGAAATGTATTTCTCAAACAGAATAATGACTTTCAGTTGTAAAGTATACTCTCAATTCCTTGCCTCTTATTGGGAATTTTTACAATAGTTAATACGATAAGGGAGTGAACTGTAAGTATGAACATGCTTGACATACAAAACATATGATGAAAATTTGTAAATTGACAGAATGAAGGGATGAGTACTTATAAAAGATAGAGTAATTTTATAATTGCACAAGTATAACAATATTCTGTTTTGAATATATTCTCATTTCAATAATGATTAAGTCTGGAAGAAAATTATACAAACCACTGAGAAAGAACAATGTTATAATTAGTATCGGGATAAGCTTAAACGCAACAAAACGTGCAAATGGAAACATCAAATCAGTGATCAGCAGCTAATTGTCAACGCAAAATCAAAAACAGAACAAACATATCTAGTGTGCGCTTCCTATGTCTACAATGAGCAATTTAACCTACGAGTGAAAATTTAATCTTTGTTTTTAAAAATAATGCGTTCAATTTTTTCTATATTCTACAAGTCATTCTATGTAACTAATGATATTCATTTCACTAAAATACCACATCGTTATGATGTGGCATTCGAAATTGTCATCCATCTGGCCATATCTGTTAGAAAAAATATTGTAGAATCACTTCACAATATCAACAAAGGTTAAAGACTGAAGAAGTAAAAAGGAATAGAGAGGTAAATTCATGTAATATTAAAATGAGAACAAAATCATTCCTGACGAATTCTACCGTCAAGTATATAACATGTTTGATTACCAAGTCAGAAAAGCTAGTCTTCTGATATATAAATGAAGTAAAAATTGTCAACAATATGGTTTACAATTCTGAATTAAGAACGCATTATTTGACCAAAGATTAAAATATCTATCACTTCATAAACACTGCGAAAACTGCAGAAGATCGATAAACATTTCATTTAGGCAATTCAGGAAAATTTACAACATATAAGGCATTTAACGAGAAGGAAATTGTTGATATGCAATGAAAATCGTATAAATGTCCTTATTGCATCTGATGCCAACTAAATCAGCTTAAAGTGTGACCAACAGTTATAAACGCACTAAATCAGGAAACATACAATAAAAAAAATTAAAATGAGAGCTTCCGTTTTTGTGGTGCTATACATGTGCCTGAGACATGCTTATGTCGTACAGAGAGAAAAAAGAGAACGTTCATATTAATAACATTTATGCAACATTTCTTGATTTGTGGAAAAAGTACCCGCCACCATAACGTCAAGCATTGAAATTCAAGAATTAAGTTAAAAAAAATAAAGCGTCAGAAGAGCAAGTGATTCAACCTAGCTGTAAATACGAAAGATAAATTGATGGAAACTGAAGGATATGTATCAAATATCATATTCAAGGATTCTATGTACATTGACTATTCAAATTATTCTTATCCTAACGTCTTTGTAAAAACGGAACATATTGCCTAATCCCTATATGTATGACTTTAATAATTTCACATAGTAACCTTTCATTTTCATCTACAACAACGATTACAGGATACTTACAAAACTAGTAGGGGAAAATACCACAATAAAACAACAATAAATTATAGGCCCTAGTAGTTAATCAAGATTTGTTCAATATTTAATACTGCTATCAAAATGTTTGGTGCATGTGAGTTAATGTATTATAACATTAAATAAAGGTACAGTACAATATCAGATAAAGGACATTTTAAGAAAAGAAAGCTAGATTATATAACAAAATATTACATTTCCGAATCCTTACCATCTACGAACATGTCTCGTTAGCTATAAATGTAATCTCTGAAATGAAAGTTGTTCCATATAATTTCTCCCGTCAGTAATTTCATGATTACAATTACCTGACGACATCTATACAATTCCTTTGCCCCTTCAAATTTACATGGTATGTGTACTATCACTGTAAAAATATATTTCTTGCGTATGGTTTCGATTTTCAATAGAATATCACATCATCAATAATATATATCTTATTGACACTGGAATGGCAATGTTCAATCGTTAGTTTATAATGTTTGTTGTAAATGCATATCAAGCATTCCGACTTTCCGGTTCAGGTTACACACACAGCATTGAGTTGGGTTTTTTCACTAACACTATACATAGAAATTCAAATCTTATCCAATAGACACTGAACGTAAATGTTAGCAGTGAGTGTAATGTATGCTAAATTAAAATTTTCACTTCGACTTCAAAATTCACTTGCCTTTGCACTGCCTTTTTATACAGGATATTTGGCAATGCCCTTTTTATATTTTGGAGGGAAGATTTATCAAAGATATTTTGTAGGTCATTCATGTTGTTACAAAGTATTCAAATGTTATTATACATCATACATTTTTTAGAGGACAAGGACAATGGATAACAGGAAACGTCTGATTCCGGAAAAAGAGGGTTACATAAAGAATGTGTTTTCATCTGTACGTTTTTACAACTTCTTCATAAAATACGAATGTCCTAGCGTGCCGTTATAATGATATATAAATTGTTTCCGCTAGCGAATCATATTTCCTTAAGCTCTGCCTCAGTGAAATATTTCTTGTCTTCATTTAACAACCAGGCATCTCGTGTCACCGATGTAACCAGCAAAGAAAGAAGTACCTGCGATAATGGCATTGAACTCTACGTGCATTATGTACAACACCCCGATATCTAGCTATTCATTGAATTCATCATACATAATGCATCATTATGAAATATCCTTTTGGCATAACGCTTCATAAATAAGTATAAATTACATACAAAAAGCGATTCTCAAACCTATAAAATAGTTTCAACCTTAGTATCACAAATTATATCTCATTTGATATAGTAAGAATCATGCAAAAATATAAGGCTATACTTTTCAACATTAATAAAATTTCATTTTAACTAACATCATAGATTTGTAAAGAGATAACAATAGCTAAGAAAACAAAAATATAATAGATATTTGCGAGCACCAAAAAATATCTTCACTAAAGTTGGAAGAGTACTTTGAATATTATAACTCCCTCTCAAACAAATTCCTGAAATATCATTGTTTAATGTAAAACATATTATTGTAATCAAAGAAGTGTCAACAGTTTTTCTTAGTCCTTTTCATGGAACGAGAGGATTATTGTGAATACATGCATTTTATATGTGAATATATCACAGAAGTAATACCAACACGTGGACATAATACATGTATAATTGTTGACATTGTGGTTGTAACTATACTATTGTGGCTCACTATGTTCTTTTAATTCTAGTATTACGAGAAGGAATACAGTTCATGTGAATCCGACTTTACAAGGGATTTTTGCTCTATGCAATAAAACGCTAAAACTGATTGTAACATGCAGGGTGACTAGATCTATTGTTGCTACAATGTTACTACAAGGTATAACGTAAAGCAGCCCTCAATTTGATCCTGTACCAGGACAAACTGCACACTCCCAGTACCTAAAACATAAATTTCTTGCACGAATACAAACCTGTCTCTTGCCGAACTTCTGTGGGTAGGAACAGCGGAGATGGGGTACATCTCCGCTTGCTCCCCGAGAGTCAGAGAGTGGGTATTACTCCCAGGGGACACGCCCATTTGTTGACGCATGTCCACCAGTGTCTGACTTCTTGTCAGCGCCTCAATACGCTTAAACTGAATACCTGTAGCCAAGGCACGAAAACAGCCAGTTTAGTTCACACACAAGTTATTTATTATCAATCCAAACAGCCCAAAGACATTCTGTTTTGTAAAATGATTAAACATTGACATTATAAAGAACAATTTACACCGAATTTGATTTCAACGTTAACGAGAGAGACGGATTTAAAATGTACTTTTTTCTGGTTAGTCTTTCAGTATTTCTGGGTCTATTTTTCGTTTGATAATTTTGTTCTGAACAACATGAAACAAACAAAAAGATCATGCTTCATCGAAGCAGAATGTCTTCATGCGAACTGATACCCCTGACCTCATAGGTTTCTGAGATTAGAGGTAATGTTAAGAAATGTAAGAACAGATATAGCAAAAAGTGAAGATCAGAAAGGCCAGTCTCTTTCTTTTGTTTTTATTTTTTTTCTTTGTTTTTCCAAAGACCATTCATCTGCAAACTTCACGACTCCAGTTTGGTTGTTTTGTTCAAATCAAAAAGACGTTACAGGACAGTACTTAGTAATGCTGATGTGGCCTTCGAGAAAGAATAATGTTATGTCAGACTACAATTTCATTGTCATTTCAGTGTCTACAATATTATTACATAAATAACAATAACTCAGCATACACAATGCCAACCACTTGTCAACATCAATAATTCAATAAGGGCGAGTCCTGAATAAGAATCAATATGATACCCATGTTAATACATGGAAATTACAGAAATGATGCATACAGTTCAGGAAAGTAATTCATAACGGATTTCATAAAATACTCAATATTCGTATAAAGAAAACAGATTTTTTTTTTCATTTCGTAAAAACTTTCAAAATGTCCCTGTTGATGCAGACACTGAAACTGCTAACATGCTACTGTCAGTTTGAAAATGTAACAGAAAACCATGCAAAACAAACCAAACACTAAGGAAACCAAAGTGAAAACAGAGATGCTACTTGAATAGAAATGAAGCAAGAAAAACGAACAGACTCAAAGTAAAATCAAAGATTCCATATGCAATAAAACGTAATTTTACAAAATCTTCACACCAGATATAAATCTAAAAACCAAACAATGTCAGAGTAAATCCTAATGCTAGTTTTAATGTCAGCATGCAAATTGCTCTAATTAAAAATCAAAAGTGTGCTTGTGAAACAAACCTTTGGATGCAATTCGGTCTGAATGGGGTAAAAGGATATATAAGGATTTATTTGACAGTAATATATTGGCGAGAGACAATACCTTAGCAATAACCACTAAGACAATATCCAGACGTTGTTTAATATAAACGTACAACCAAACACTGTGTCAATTGAATATTGTAAGCATTATCTGTTCACTGTCCAACAATTCACTGAATAGTACCAGGTAATCATTTATCAAATGATGATAACAATATTCAATTTTAATAAAAATATTGTGAATTACAAGGAAAGTGTACAAAAAATACATCCTCAAAGCATTCTTTTTGTGTGCTTACAGCTTACACTGATGCAAAAACATAAAAGTCAATCTTAGTAAAATCACTAAAGAAAATATGTCTTTCATAAAATCCATAGAGGGAGAGTTCTAAAGTTCTTCATTTATACTGTCTTAGTAATTTTGCTCAATATGTTATAAAAATCTGGATTTCTTTGACAGTTTCTTCCATCTTGTTAATCCAAAGCAACATAAACTATGTAGAATGTCTTGTCGTGGTTAGTTTTGGTAGTGTTTTCATGCATGTTTTAAATTGACAATTTAAGCGACTGCAATTTATCATCTTCAAACGTTACATAGCGCAAAGAATGGAACAATGACAAGATTTTTTTATTCAATAATACTTAGACATTTTTTAAGATGGACTGTTTAACGAAAAAAGTGAAACATAAATTGTTCTAATTTAGCCAAAAATAAGAAACTGCAGAAAACAGATAGGAAACTTTATATACTACAGAATGGATATGAAGAGCAGTATCCTAGCTTAGTATATTATGCAATAAGATTTTATATGAAAAAGAATGCAGCCTAAAGCGTATATCTAAAGGGGAACAAATATGTAAAGCGTATATAAATAAAAGATAAACTGGAGTAAACAATATACGTAGTGGCTACATCATCCTCGACTACATATATACATGTACAAATATAGATAATTCAACAAGAGTTGTTGATAAATGTAATATTAATACAAGTGTATATTTCTGAGTAGACATAGAAAATATGACTATATATGTGTGGGGTATATAAAACTAACAATGCAGTACGTTATTCGGAATAATCGGTGATGATTATAGCGATTTCTTTCATATTGCATTGCTGATGTAAACTAAGAAATCACTTCAAAGCTGCTTCTACTTTAAGAAGGAAATAAAAGAAAATTTTCAGTATTTTTTCCAGATTATCAAAATGACAGTAATTTATGTCTCACCTTTGGGATCACCCAATAGTGTTGTGTTTACTCTCTGAAGCTGAGTTGGTGCTAGGTTGGAAGGTTGTGTTCTCAGTTGCATTGGTATAAATTTGGTGTTCCACTGCACCATAGGTGATTTATTATCCAACAGATCTGTACCAAGGTTAATTGGGTTCCCGGACAAACCACCATCACCTGCCCGTTGTGTCCGGTCAGACATGCGGTGTTTGCTTACATGAGGTCTGAAAGGGTAATTTTAATCTACATGAACTATTTTGTAGATGGGATGTCAATTTTAAGATGAATTATGTGTTTGACAATTAAATAGAGAACAATTCATATATACCTCATTTCAACTATAACAAAAATAAGATATACCAACATGCATTTTGTATACTATATGTATCTTGCAAACGTTAAGACTATTTCAGAACAAGGTAAACAACTTTAATCATTCTTCATATAATTGTGTGTAAGATTTGCAGTAGGACTGATATTTCTTCTTTTGCAATTCATCTGCTGAAAGGTCATTATAATGGATGTAAAATTCCATTAAATTAAAAAATAAATATATCAATAAAATTTTTTTCAAGCACATTCCTTTGACAATGATATGGCATTGTATTACATATTTATACTAGTATCATCCATATTTGTGTATTCATGAGGGTATCACGACCTGAAGAACATAGCAGGATATACAAGCATACAGATAAAAATGCATAAACGTTCATAGCAAAGTTAAAGAACAGTGCAGCATTATGGTTCAAAAAGTAATGGATTTGAACTCTGTGTAAATGTGTTCATATTACACTGTATTACAAATATATCTAAGTGAAACTAAATTTGAATAGCGTTACCTGTGAAACTAAAAACCAATATAATTTCTTGTTTCATTTTATTTTACAGACATTTTTAAATATACTGATCAGAAAATGGAAGCTATTCAAGAATCTGAACAACGTAACAATCAGGTTTGACATTGGAGACCTGAAATGATGCCTAAAATGCTGTGAATGATGATAATTTTAAGATCTATATATTTAAAAATAAAAATCACTTTTCTGAATTATTTCTTATATTGTAAAATAAGCATAGGTCGAAAAAATTCAAATTTGACGAAAATGGAATTTTTTACTACTTTTTTGGTTTCCAAAACCGCAAGTTTTGAAAGACTGTGACAAACTATTTATAAATCAATAGAAATAATTTCCTCAAACAAGCTGTGGACACTGCAAGACTGCAAAAAACATGCACAAAAAAAAAAAAAAAAAAAAATCCACCAAAACAAGACTGTGATATTTCATCATGAAAGCATGTGTGAAATGCAAAGGAACGATGCATGCAAGGTTTTTCATTCAAATGATATTCAAATCAATAGCACACTTTACGAAAATGTACCAATTATTGTGATCTTTGCTACGACATATCAGTGATATCCAATATTATTGCCTTTAATGAACAGCTTGTATCAATTCAATATCGCATGGCAGTGAAAATTTAAGTATTGCTAAGAGGAGAGTGCTTTGAAGGCGATAGGCTTTGTTTATTTCAATTAAATGAAAGTAGGAATACAAGGTATTGCACTTTTTATAAAGAATAACCTCTTAATGTCGACATTGTGATTAGGTTTACATACACACTTTATGCCTTCTCCCAATGTGTCATAGAACTTTTCATAAGTATGTTACTTTTAAACTACATGTTAGCAACTACGATCGTTAAACCAGTATCTTTTTTAAAATGATACAACTCTAATTATATCACCAGACAGCCAGAAAATAAATGCCACATATCTTAAAAAGTGTCTGGGTGTGTTTTCCGTTAAATACTTGCCTAATATAAAGATATATTTTCAGAGAATTACACAACTAAGTTCAAAGTGCTCGCCTGTGAATTGTTTCCAATTTAATATGACAAATGAATCCCTGAACTTTGGTCCTACATTCAATCAGACATTCAAAATGAACGAATAGTTTCAATTCACTGTAACACTGAAAAAGAGGACTTGAAATAAAGCTGTTGGCAAGCATGCTGTAATGTACCTGTAAAAGACATAGAAACAGGTATTGTTGAGGAAAACTGCATAGATAGAGGAATTTCATAATCAATATTCTGGCAAATTCTGGTTATTGTTAATAGGAATCATCACACTGTGAATGTTATGCACAACTCGGCCAAGATTTAACCTGGAGTTTCTAGGCTTGGGTAAGCTAGGCAACGTGACTCCACCTTTCCGATCGCCACCCGATTCCTCAAAGTTTGGGCTGCAGAAAATCCATTTCAAATGGGTGCATTACTTATAGCATATAGGAGAAATGAGTAGATTCTGTGCAACATAGAATTACTAATGCTAAATATGAACTGGGAAAATTACATAAATATTGCATGAAACATTTGATTAACTAGCAATGTTCAACATGTCTCCTAGCAGTCATTGAATAAAGATCTGGAGCTGTTTAATATACTGAAGTTTTAAATTATCATCATAAAGTACTGCATTTTTTGCACATGAATTCAAATACTATTCCAAGAAATTTGTTAAGATAATCGCCTGTCTTATTCATATTTTAATCAAGTTACATTTCATAACATATATAAATAGCAGTAGGTACCAGTATCTGCATGACAGATACAACATCCCACAAGTCAGTGATAACGGTCAGTGATAATGGTCAGTGCTGAAATAGGTAGCACAACATCTATATGAACACAGTGATATATTCTCACCCCTTAGAGTTGTCTACAACGGCAATAACATCAACAGATATGGGTTAAAAGACCTACCTTTCGAACAACCAAGAGAAAAATTACTTCATTTGATCATAAAGATTGTAAAATCGCAGCTTTGGAAGCAACACCAAGAAGCATTTTTTTTTAATTTCAAGTAATGTTTTGTTATGGAGTGCACTGATAACTGCAAGACATCACAAATATGAAAGAATTGTAACCAAATATAACATTAATCTAAAATGATATCAAAAGGAATCTGTTATTTGCATGATTGACAAGCTGTGTTTTCCTGTAAATATTCTTTATATATTATTTTAATTGCCCTGATAACCTTGTGATATTTGTCAGGCTCAATATAAGTATTTTTCTGTTTTACTGTAAAAGTTCAGATTCCAGCCTGACTTCAGACATTTCTAATCTGGTAATATGGAGAAACCATTGTCCTTCTACTTCTAAATAATTGTACATTGCAACTCTTCAGTTTTCACTCGATGTTGATGTGCTTCCTTCATATATATTTTTTATTCTCTCACATGTACACGACATAAGTCATTTATATCAATACTAATATCATATACCAGGTAATAATACTTAAAAAAAAAAGTTGTAATAACAGTTTCATAAATTTGATCACCACAGCATGCACTTATGGAAGATATAAATCACAGTTAGAATAACTTCTTCAGCAGTGATGCAGTAGCATAATGCAGAAAAAGCAACAGTATGTGTATAGGAAGATGTTGTATTTTTACAATGGAATGTCTGGATTGTGGTATACAGAGAAATAAAACAATAGTAAAATGAAATCTTCTAGAGAAAATCAAGTAATTCCTGTCATAAGTAATAAGAACAGGTTTTGGTTATCATCCTTTGTGCATTTCTATTTCATCGACAATGAAATTACTAGCAAAATTCCCTCACTACAATTAGTAAATATTAGATGTGATACTCCTGTATGCCAACATTTATAGACCCATCTCCAACAAATAAGGTAAGTGTCATTAACACATATCATTCACAGAATTTGCCTGATTATCAAAATATAATAAGAAATACATAATGTTTTTCAGTTTAATGTGTACCATAACAGATATATATACGTACACATGTACATTTTTGTTTTTGTCTTCTGAAAATTAGAGGATTTGGAAAGGTAACAGACAGCTAGTTCTAGTATACTTACATCAAAAGTATAAGATATGCAAGTGATATTGTTCATGATATCTGATATCAATCTTTACTTATATCAAAACTTCAAGGCAGAAGTATACCTTTCATGGTTCAATATTAATATATGTATTTGCTGGTACTCTCAAATGTTTACTATTTTATATATGACCTGTTCAATAATTGATATCTAATGAAATATGATTTTTTTAAAAAATAGTACATCCTTCTGTGATGGTAACACACTAAGATCCCTGGTATGTCTGATATTATTGAGCAGCGTCACAAGTGATTAATTACTACAAAAGAACAGAGAGATGTGAAGAGCTAAGAGATACAACATATCCACTGTCACATCTCTATATTCCCTTTGCCATGCATTCTACATCAGCTAGACTAAGCTTGATTATCTGGCATTGTATAACAAAGTTTGTAAAGTTTAGATTCCATCTTATTGCAAATATGAATAATGAAGGTCTTTGAAACAAGCTGGACGATAAAGAAGCTCTGAGAGTTGCTGCTGAGGATTAATGATGAGGCTAGTTACTACAAAAGCATTAGATAAAAGAATTAAAGATTGCAGTAGTCAGTCCGCTAAAGAAGCATAACAGCAACAGAGTTTATATATGTATACACAAAACACATTGAATACAAGGTATATGCGACAGCCACCCATCTATAGAAGCATTACTTGGATATATAGTATGTTATAGGTAGGCTAAGTAGCCGACACACAGCCAAGTTACCTGTGACTGCTAATGTAACTATTGGCCCTCTGTACAAACACCTGTTGCATATCTAGGAAGTACGAGCTATCACTGGGATGGCCCGATGGGGACAGATATGTGGACTGGGGATCCTTATTGCTCCCCTGCTCTATCAGGCTGCAAAGTTTAAATGCAAACATTTTACCGGGGTCCAGTACTTCAATGCCTTGGCAGCTGCACTATGTTTAAACCATGTTTCAGATATTCTAACCAAACTAAAATATCACAATTTATCTGTTACTTTTCTAGTTATTTATGACATGCCAAACAAGAGGATTTTGAAGTTATCATGAAAATAATAATTATTTAGTTATTTTGTCTCACCACCTTGTGTAAAGATGCTGAATTAAAGCTTAATACAGGATACAAAATTATCTTCTAATAAAACATACCGGTAGGCAAATCAGGTTTCTTTCAATGTTGGTTATAGTTTTAAAGATCTGTTTGACAATAGCAAATTAAAATAATTTTTCTTCAGTGCATTTCAATATTACAAGTCAAAACCACATACAAATTACCAACAGCAATCCAACATTGGATATCATGATGTTTCTAACAAATGTTATATGACAAATGTTGGAACCCTGATATATTAAAAAGGGTTTCAATTTTACCAAGATTTTAAAAATATTTTTTTTATTACACTTATGTATACCATTGTTTTTTTTTATCTTACCTGGCTGTCTTTGACAAGATTTTTGAAAAATAACTAAATAAGGAAATCTTAAGGCAATCATATGTATGGTTTATGTTTGAATTGATGTTAACAATGTAGGAGGAAGAATCTATTTTTATTATCTCCTTTTCAGAAACAAATTCCTCATGAATTAGGGTTTTAAAATAAGGGCTCTAGTAATTATTTTTGTAACTGAAGCATTTCTAAATATGCTATATGTTTTTTAAAATCTATGGCTGAGAAATATTGGGGGGTTAGGAGCACTAGGTTATTGATATAATTATTTCAGCTACTGAAAGCTTAATTTAAGATGGCAAATTTTAAAAAGTTTTAAAATAAAACGATCCCTCCACTTGTGCACCTAAACCAAGATACTATGTTAATAAAATTCTTTTGAAATGTTCACGATATATTTTCCATATACCAATCAACAATAAAATAAACTTTTATATAAAATGTGGTATTCTAAATAGTATTACTAGTACAATTTAAAACTGTATAAGAATTATTGATGCACTGGTCCATTTAAATCGAGAACCAAATAAGAATTCATTTGTAATTACAGTGTGAATAAGATTTGATTTCAACGCCGGAATAGCTCTTGTAAAAAAACTAAATATATGACTCACAACACATTCGATTTACATTACTATTGTGTACATGATGGGCAAGTAACTCTGATAATGATTACAAATTAACTAAAAGTTTCTGATCCAGGAGAAGCTGTTCTACAAATGTAAATAAATATTATACGCCAAATACTATTACGATTACATTGCAACTTCATTTATCTTAAAGTCAGATTCTATTCCATTTACATATTCCTTTTTTTTCTGCATTTGTATATACATGTATCTCAACTTAAATGACCTTTTTCTAATTTGTAAATGTTAAAACTAAAAATTCAAACTTAAGGTTCTTAGTTGACTATTACTCCAATATTTATACGAAACACTGGGCAAAAGCACTTCAGAAAACTGTCATCCGAAAACAATATCTGGCGGTTAAATATATGCAAAATCATATTTGATTAAATTTACAATACAAACTCTAAACTAAACAAATAATTTCAAACATTAGAAGCCTGATCAGTTACATTATATAACATTCCACACATATGGTGCCATTACACACCATTAGCAAGTCAATTACAATATGTTTTGCATTTTATTTGAAATTGAAATTAACAAATCGCAAACAGGAAGCAATCTTAATAATTTTGATGTATAAGTTCAAACCCAAATAAATATCTGAAGAAATCAATTATCTGCAATCTGTTTGTGTAAACAAGATGTGTTCAATGTAAATGATGATTTTTATATTTCGGAATGAAGAAAATTTTGATAGAGAAAGTACTTTTGCAACTAAAATTCAACAACACTGTAACATAAATTTATTAAGGATTTCACATATAAATTTGAATCATGTGGTCCTTGTTTCTAAATGTATATGTTATTTTGGTCTTTGAAATATCATTTATCTTAAACATCATTAACACATCTTAATGAAATGATACATGAAATCTTTGCTCCTTTGATAGTCACGTTACTTATCGATATATACATTTTAAATTGAATCAGTTCTATTATGTCTAATTTATGCGACAAGGAAATGTGAATAAATATGTTGGATGAACATAACATTAAAGATTCTTATTAGATAAATTCTTCGTCACGCTCCATTGACTAAACATGATAAGTACATGTAAGTCATCAACCAAACAAACTATCCAAACACAAAAGCAACCCTCACCTTTTCTGCAGCTTTTTCAGCCTATTTTTCTTATTGCTAAAATATGTCATTGTGAAAAAATTAAATTGCTGAAGTCTTGAAAAAATGCTTTTTGGAAACATTTTTCTGGTTTCCTGAACACCAGTTTTGCATCTTTCTTCATCACTTTTCATCAAACCCATAATGGAAAAGTTTAAAGAGATGACCATTAATCATCTTTCTTTTTGACACGACTGGAAAAAGGTGTAATAAATCCATCAGAAAAAATAGCATGATTAGAATTTTCTCAGTCAATCTCCAATAAACGTTCCTCTGGACTTAAAACTCTACAGGAGAAGCTGAACCAAATAACAACAAAATACGATTGATAACGTAATATAATTCTATCATTCCTCTGGCAGAATTTTTGTCCTGCCAAATATTGAACATGATGAGTCAAGAGTTACTTGGAATGTGTTGTAAACAAGGAACATGACGCATGTTTCATTTTACACAGGAAGGCATGTATATTGTAAACTTTTCCCTTTCATTGTTCTGTCAACTTTATTTAAACTTTATGTACACAATGACCTGTTAAAAATATAAAACACAACAACCTACCGTTTTGTCAAAGCATCGATATCAGCATTGTCGTATTTTGATCTACCAAGATCCTGGGAGTTTCTCGGACTAGTAAGGGAACGAGAGCCCCATGGACTGGAGCTCTGAGCACCCTCTAAGTACTGCTGACTTGGGAGTTCTGGTTTTGGTAGATTTTCTCTGAATCCTCTCTTTCTGTCAGGATATGTGACAGGTCTTTCTCCTGTTGTTACTCGTGGGTCACTGTTGCTGTTAGATACTGCACTTTTTGTCGGTGGCCTGTTGGACTCTGTTTGAGAGTGAGCAAATGTCACAGAATTTTTCGTAGGAGTTTTTATATCTCCATGAGTATCACAATGTGTCTTATTTGCCGACTTGGAATGACTTGAATCATTGTTATTACTTATTTGACTTTTATTAGATGGAGGTCGCACAGTGTTTAAATCATTCACTATTGCCCTAACAGTACCAGCACTGCTGAGGTTTGAATTCCTCTTAGAGATATGTCTATCGATAGATACAGCATTAGGAGTTAGATCTGGTGGTCCTCGACTATTCTGAGTATTTGGAGTATGGTTAGTATATATACTTGGATCAATTGTTATTTTCACCCCACGATGACGAAAATCAACTCGTTTATTATTGTTCATTATTGTTCGTGAACGCTCCATCTTGAGTCCAGGAGGAATTGCTGGGACGTTGCTTTCAACAAATGTGCCTGATCTTGCAAAAGCTTTCTTCATCTGTTGTTGTGGATCTGGTGCAATGGATCCAGGTTCATCACTCGAGTTATTTTTGTTTCCTTGGATCGATACATAGCTCATCGTTACTGGAAACATCTTGCCAATGTTTTGTGATCTTTCAGCCTTTTGTGGTGGAGGTCTGCTTTGAAATGCCTCCTTTACTTGAACTGGGTTATTTTGTGAACGTGTTCGATGAACCACTTCTTTCTTTGGAACTTCCGGTGGTACCACTTTCTGGGGAGAATTCACTTCTCTCTACAATACAAAATAAAGTCCAAATATAATGCACGTTGTGTCATTTATTAAGGAATCTTGAGATTGGTATATTTGAATTCTACAAGTATTACCTTTGAAGATGAATGCCCATCAAACTAAAACTTTTCCTATATATCATATCAATATCGAATGTTACACAAAAGTCATTAAACTAAATCTAAAATCTTGAATACAGAATGAGGTATATAGCTATATGTACTGTTTTTATTCACTCTGTTCAATATTCAGCTGATAACAAATTTCTAAGTATGTACTAACTGTAAATGTAGGGTTAATTGTCACTTCCTTCATCGGTCCAAAGTGACTTAACAAGAATGGTCATTAAATATCCCAAATTATCTACAGAAAAATTTATTCCGCTTGTCCGTCAACGACAATGAGTCTTATGATAAAAAAATCTCAATTCACAAGTTTCAGAGTTCCCTACAAATAACATAGGTGAATACAAATTTCAAAATGCTAACAAGCATGGTGAGTATAAAAGAGATATATCAAATGTTTATATTCAAACAAGATGAAACAGGAGATCAGTAGATAGATTTCAAAATGCTGACAAACACGTAGAGTATAACAGGGATATATCAGGAAATCGCAAATACAACATTACAAAGACAGCCATTGTTCTCCTGAAATCAATCACACAGACGTGATAAACAAATAGAGTAGAATCAATATTTTATTGACGTTCAAAAACAGAACTCAAAACAAAAACTAAACACTTCACTAGCAATAAAACAAAAGAACAATGACACTGAAATTCTATTTGAATGATATAGTAATATTTGCATTTATTTAAAAGAAGACTATTTAAGAAACTTGAACCATTTACAAAGACAATTTTATACATCACTGATATTTATGAATATTGCAGCATCCACTGAAATCAACACAAATGATTCAGTAATTTATTTACATGAGATCTAGCATCACACAGTTCATAAATGAAATCTCATGATCACACGCTAAATTTCATATTTCAAAAATACAGTCTACATATAGTATTAATATGCATTGATGAAAATTACATATGTTACATGGTAGCAAAAAATATTCAAGTTTCTTTACATATTTTAATTTGCACAGAAAGCCCATCAAGGGAAGACGAGGACATGACTGGATATTCAGAACTTTGGAAAGCTATTTCTATTCAACCAGAAAGGACTGCAAGCAATACTTTATAAACAATTTAATGTATTTATGTAGATTTATTAAGGGACAAGTACAATATACCCCATACACTGAGAACTAGGGCCTCTTTCACAGCAAGGTCTTTCATTTCCATCCAACCAGATATTTACAACTGTGGCCTCCCAACGGGCAGGTAGGTAATTTTAACATTAATATTGTCAGGCAATTTGGAATAGATATTTCAAAATGGTAAGATACATTTCCATAACTTAAAAGAGGCTTCTTAAATATAAAGCATCCCTCAGTCACACATCGGGATACATTTTGAACAGCTAACTTAAAGTGTGAGTGCGTCCCTTTATCACTCAGTATTACATGGCTTCTCAGTTTTACTAAACAGAAACTAACACTACATGATGAGATTATTAGCAATTACATCAATCAAACATTGATATTGAGAGCAGCTATATATAGCAATATTGAATGATGAAGATACATAACATATTTACTTAAATATATCATGTCAAGGTATTTCTAATGATTAAAAACATTTTAACTCTGTAGGAAATTGAATTAGATAAAAATAATGATATACATCAGTGAAATGTATCACAAAAATTTAAAAATTACTTTAATGAATAAAAAGCATTGATTTTATCATAAAGAAAACCATCTGGCTACGTTGTCATACATGTCTGTATAAAACAATATGATATTACTTATATTACTGATTTTTACAAGGTTTGTCATGAGATGAAGTGATAATGAAAGTTTCATATTGAAAATTACGGGATGTAACTCTAACTTAAAATATTGTTTGTACATTTTTAATAGCTATATAACAACTGAACAGGGACACATCTGATAAATGAACTCTGTCATATTTTCAGCAATATTTTTTTAAGTTTTATTTTCAGTTTAAGATCTCCACACCAAAAAGTTAGATTTCAAACAGTGAAAGGAATGTTAACATTGTGCCAGAAATGTATTAATGTGTTATTTGTAACAACTGTTCCAATAAAAGACTTACTAAAACAAAAAGTGTAGTCATAACGATAATTTGCATTCTATCAATGTACTTATAATTCTGTTGTAGTTGTGTGTTTTACTTTTGCATGAAAAAAAAAAACTCACGCGAAGTCAAGCAAAACCAATAATCTTTTCAAAATGCTTCGCCATTTCTTAATCATTATAATCCATTTAATAAATAATTGCTTTTATATGTTACATTTATTGTTTATATTCAACAGAATTAAGATCTAACTTCCGTGAATGATTATAAAATTTATACAATATTTTAGATTAGAGTTACTTCCCTTCTTTAAAGAAATCGGAGACAAACGATGAAAAGTAAAAATTAAATAAACTACACATTAGATAACTTAACTGCTAATATGTAACTACTGGATGGATGGATGGATGGATGGAAAGATATAGCAAAACAACTGCTAAAGCTGTATAAACATAACGTATCTGAGAAATGGATTGAATGGTCACATTCTCAATAAGGCATTGTAGAGCCTTCTACTCCCCTAATAAAAATGAATTTATATAAACAATTGATTGGACATAAGGGATGTTATGGCAACATAGGAATTAAGTTGTAATAGACCAGACTAGTCTTTTCTATATTGCATTGTCTTATTTGAAATTACTAGGGAGTTAATGAAATACACCTATATGTATTACAGTATTGAAAGTAGCATAGGTAGTTTCACACTTAAAACTTACTGATGTACTTTCTGCTTTACTCCTTTTAAATCAATTACTGAGACATCAAAGAAAAATATGCTTAAAAATCACAAGATGAATGTTAAAATGAAAAATGAAACTACACTTCAGTTGAAACAGGGTCAACAATTTTATATTTCTTTTTGCTTTCTACCTCTTCTTGAGTATCATTTTCAAATTGTAAATTACCTACATGGTAACTAAAACTTTGTCTACAGTGATAAATATTTCTGAATAATACTGATATTGTAACAAGAAAACATGCTTGAGACTTATAAATTACAGTAAATGTGGTTATTAGAACTCTCCTGTATACATTAATTGAAGTTCTTGAAAGTAAGCTGTATTTGACAACTAAAATTATTCTGCATACAACAATGATGATTATCTTACATAGATTAAATAAAATTACCCTGCATACAATGATTATGATTAACTTCAGTTATTTAAATTATCTTGCTTATAGTTTTCCAAATTATCTTGCTTAAAATAACTAAAATCTTACCAGAACATCTGATCTCTCTGCCTAAACTTTAATTTTCACATTTTGCCCCAATTTCATCAAATTTGTGTTTGAAACAGGATCCTCTTCACATATTAAAATTTTCTTTGTTATTTTTCTATCGCCCTATACAGTAATTAAAATTACCCTTCATGCAGTAAATAAAGATTTCCATGTGTACAATGATTACAGCTGTCTTTTTTGTAGTTGTCATTTCTGATAAAGGATCAATTTGAAGTAAAAACACTGTGACATTACTCTGAGTAAGCAATTTAAGGGAATCCTAATGACTAATGATATATACTACTGGAAATAGAAAATAAATACAAAAATTCATCTTAGTTACTACAGTCAAATAATGGGGAGTATATCTCTATATATATACAAATCTATTCATCTAATATATTATATGCCAAAAAAGTAAATTATTTCAATAACATACACTGTATATATACACACATAAATATTTATCTAATATTCTACATTTTGTGATATGTATATAAACATTTACCTAAGTTGCTACATAAAAATATGTTTGGTCACAAAATTGATAAATTTATTGTAGTTGTAGGACACCATTCAAAATTTATATTTTTTTTTTTCAATGCACTTGAAAAAAAGTCAAACGAAACCACCTTTTTAAAACTGATATGATTTTGAGGTGAAAGTGACAATGAATGCCTCTCAACAGTCGTGTATCAACCAAACAAAAAACTATTTCAATCTATGATATATTACATTGTTATATGGGTATATTTCATTTACTGAGCGGTACATCATCCATCATCTATCACAAAACTGAACATAATTAGAGGCATTATAAAACCAGATTATAAACTACTGATTTATGAATAGTAAAATCATGGTAGGAATTTCTTTTTGCCAAAAAACTTGCTTTCCAACTGACCAAGTGATCACTTGCGAGACTTGGTGACGAAGAACAATCATTGACTTACAATAAGTGATAAAAAAATCCAGAATGGTACACTATATCAATTTGTGACATTTTGAAAACAAATAGAGGAATTGAGCTGTAATGTCCTGACCATTCACACTACAATGACCACAGATGTGTTAAAACACGGAGAAATAAACAAGTAAAGATTAACCTTTGTGATTATGTTGTCACAAGATATTACTGTATTTGTGATCACAAAACTTGAATTGATAAAAATGATGAGCACCAAAATTCGAACAAACATGTTTTTTAACCTGTAAGATGTCACTCATATTTCATTTTAATCAGTGTTGGGTATTGTTGGACAGGATAAGCCATTGTTATTTTTTTTTTAATTAAAAGATTGATGATATGCAGCACCACTTTTTTCATTATATTTTTTTCCTGTGATTTTAGAATACTTTATAAAAACCTAATATGTCCTATAGTAACTATGAGCTGCTGATTAACCTCTATTAAAAAATATCATTAATTTTAATGGAGTCAGACATTTTGTTAACATGTATATATTTTAAGAAGAAATTGCTTGATTTTTATGAAGCTGTAAATACATATCACAATGGAGTATCTTTCCCAACACTTTTTTTGACATCCCAGCTCTCATCCATCTTAAGGAACAAACAGTCAGGTAAAAGGATAAAAAGGGATGGGTTATTTCTTTATTAAACTGCGGATAACTCGTTTTTTTCTCAAATCAGATGGACTCACAAGTCTCATGCCAACGTGGTAGTTATTTCTCTGTTGATAAGATCATAGCACAAGTATTGGCATTAATAGGCAAATAAATAGTACACATATCATTAAATACTGCTAAAACAAACAAAAAAGTTATGATTAAATGTTGTCTTCAAAAGTTGTGCTAGCCAATTATCAGCATACTGATTTTCAATGATTAATACTCAGAACCAAAACTGAAAAATTATTGTATCATAAATATATATTATAACTATCTACAATGTAATATACATAATGTATCACACTTTCGAATTATCAGAAATTAGAAAAAAAAACAACATATGTGACATATGATTTGAAATTTTAAAACTTCAGAATGGGTTACTTAAGTGACTGCCATTGTGGAAATTGAGGATCTTACCCGAGTTTTGCCATTGTGGAAATTGAGGATCTTACCCGAGTTTTGCCATTGTGGAAATTGATGAGTTTTGCCATTGTGGAATTTTAAAACTTTTGCCATTGTGGAAATTGGTTACTTTTGCCATTGTGGAAATAGAGGATTGAGGATCTTACCCGAGTTTTGCCATTGTGGAAATTGAGGATCTTACCCGAGTTTTGCCATTGTGGAAATAGAGGATCTTACCCGAGTTTTGCCATTGTGGAAATTGAGGATCTTACCCGAGTTTTGCCATTGTGGAAATCAACAATCTTACCCAAGTTTCCATTCAAATGAGATTTATGAGACAAGTCTGAATATTTCTAATTTTACCAAGCCTCTGGTGAGGTACAATGAAAAATCTATGACAGGTTTCACAAAGTTCATATGAAATGGAGACAGGAAGGCAGGTACAAAATTTAAATTTGCAATATATTCTCTTTCTACATTCATTTTTTGGTGATGTCAAAATAAATATGATGTCATGATTAGTTATGACATCATAAAGGAAACAATGGGACTCTTCAGCCAATCACAGCTCTGCTAGGTCATGTGACAGAGAACATACTGATAACAGGGTAGTAATGTCGTAAGTCTCTTTATATAACTTAAGGAAAATAACGTGTGGATAAGGATGATGCTAAGTACACAATACAAGTACAAATAAATCATTTTAAAACTATAACTATGACAATTTCAGATGTAATTACAACTGCTTGTGGAATATAACACAACATTGAAGCAGTACACCATACTATGCAAAAGCCAAAAGCATGAGCTGTGTAAAAAGGGAGATAACTTACTAGACTTTCTTTGTCATGTTCTGGTTCTATTTCTGTAGGTTTTGGTTCCAAAGGCTGGACAGCAACAGAAGAAACACTGCTACTTGCTACAAATCAAAACAGATCAAGAGTTATATACAATAGTTTAACCCTACAACAAAGCAAAACATCAGAACATTGTGTCATATATTCCAAGATTATATATACATATATTGTCTCATCATTTTAAGTAAAAAACAAAGCAGTTTTAGTTCAGGATGATAATAATTATATCTATATTAGCATATACAATAGCATACATTGAGATTCTTAGGAAAGACCACAAGAAAATAAATATCATGACCCATAAACATAAGGACTGATAATATCTTCCTATAAAAGTAACAAGTCACTAACGGTCATGTCACATCTAAAGACATGTGATGTATGGATTTATCAACTATATACATGACACTTGACTTAAAATGAACTAGAGCAGTAACATGAATGATAATGAGAGATAGAAAACTCTTTGATATGTCCTTGTTTATTGCTGAAGAAATACCAAGCTTTGTTTTTTTCAAACTGTAGTTTGAAAATCAAATATATTCTTTGTGTATATAGCAATCCAGATGAAATATTAGTTAATCTATAAACACAACATTTTTTTATATTCACCTTTTTACTTTTTTTGTTTTACTAATTATGAAAACTGAACCCTGACATATCAAGGTATTCCCTAGATCTTTCCAAGAATTTGAAATTTTCTTTTTTTTAGGTTTTCATTTTTTTCTAGAGATCTGATTACAACCAAAAATAGAAAGCTTAATGCCAGTACAAGAACTTTCAGAAGTCACAATAACAACAACAACAACAACAACAATAATAACCTAAAAAACAGATATAAAAAAATCACTTAACTGTTACACACTAATAATGAAAAATGTTACATTAAATCTAACTGGAACAATATCCTACTGAAAAATAAAAAAGAAAAATGACAAAAACTTAATATTTTATAGTTGACCAAGTCTACAGACACCATAATTTCCATATCTAAAACAAATTTATGAGATTAAAAAATTAAGTATGTATATATTGCTATTCTCTCAGGGAAGATATTTTTCCTATTTTTACACTGTACCTTAACATGAGTGTGAAATTTCAATTTGTAACATAATGAGATATATGTGTATTCAATGCTCTTTTGCATCCATATCCAAATTTTTCATTCGTTGAAATATAATTTCACCGGATTATCACAAAGATGATTGCTGAAAATAACCAGTTCTGCAATATTTCAATTATTCTCTGAAGAAACTCAAACTTATGGGAGTTTATTAAGCTATTTTAAGCAATGTGTTTTGGAATAGTGTGATGAGAATACAGTAGACAAACACTTTTCAGTGAGGTGAATCATTTCATTTTAGAGAAGAGTGTTTAATATGCCAATATGATGATTCAACAGACAATGAATGCTGTATATATTTTAGATAAAATATTGTTTTAACAAGTTTGACAAATGAAAATGATGCAAATGTATTAAGGCTACCAATAATCTTAATTAATTACACTAAGTAGTTCAAACAATATCCTAACAAGATTGGTCAACTCAAACTGTGACCAATAACAACTGGTTACTTCAAACTAAAAACAATTACTACAGGTCAGTTAACTAATTTAGTAATTCAAACCATGACCATTTACAATTTGTCAATATAGTTGATCAGTTCAAACAATGATCAGTTTGGGATTATTTACAAGTAAAACAATGCTAAAAATCTCATAAATAAACTAAAGCATATGGAATATTCTATGAAAATACCTTTAAAAAATAACATTTCAAATCAATATAAGGGCTCTCTCATCACAGGTCAGGGGTAAACAGAAACTCCCTTACCAAGGTTAACATAAACAGAATCTCTGTTCACTGGTCAACAAAACTCTCATCAGTGGTCAACAGAAAGTCTCTTCAGTGGTCAACAGAAAGTCTCTTCAGTGGTCAACAGAAAGTCTAACTGCTGGTAAACAGAAACTCTCACACCAAGGTCAACATAAACAGAATCTCTGTTCACTGGTCAACAAAACTCTCATCAGTGGTCAACAGAAAGTCTAATTGCTGGTAAACAGAAACCCAGAATCTCTGTTCACTGGTCAACAAAACTCTCATCAGTGGTCAAACAGAAACTCTCTTACCAGGGTCAACATAAACAGAATCTCTGTTCACTGGTCATCAAAACTCTCATCAGTGGTCAACAGAAAGTCTCTCATCAAATGTCAATAGAATCTCTCATCACAGGTCAACAAACAGTTAGGAATACTATCAGATAAAATGATACAGGACTAACATTTAGTCTGTTGATTCCATCAGACTAGGTGCTTGTATCAGATGGACGTTATTCATACTATAAAGTACTTATTTTGGCATAATCATATCTTGGTGCACTTTAGCCTTTTGGTTTTAGCACAATGATGAATCTGTGAATCCACAATGATTTATATGTAAACAATGTACAGAAACTACAATTTGCACAATAATACATTAGCAAAGTACTTTCAGCACAAAAGGTCCTTAAATAAGATTACCTGTTAAATTTTTATGTTTACCATATACATGTATTGAGAAGATAGACTCTGAGATCTATTTCAGTCAAAAAGTCTGCTAAAGATTTAGCTGACATGCTGAAGAGTATGTCTACAGGTGTAAAGATTCATGCAATTTCAGAAATGACATGCAATCTCTCATGTACAGAACTAATAACGGTGTGAATACTGCTTGACGGTGTTACAACTTTATATAAAACCATGAAAAACAGTAAATCTAATATGTTTTAAGTTGTCAGTTAGTCTTTCTTAATTTGAACTGACACTAAGGCTTGACACTAACAAAGAGTGAATGAAATAAGGAAAGGAACAGCATTTCAGGGATAAAGTTATCACTGAGGCATGAGAGAGACATCAACATTAAATCTGCATGCTTTATATGAATAAACCATGACAAGGCAATGACAATGTTATAGTGTAAAACACCAATTAAACCATTGTTTTAACAAGACTACTGGCAACCATGCTGTTAATAATTCATAAACTAAAACATTATAGACTAAGAACTCAAACTTCATCATTGCATATGACAACCATCCCCTAATTCATTGACGACAATTAAATCATTAGGTTGGGTATCCAATAGCAACCGCTGCCAATCTCAAACAAATGTTCAATTTCAAGATTTGTAATCTCCATCATAGTTTATATATTTTCAGTGAATTATCTCCTGAAATATTTGAAATTATGATTTATCAGTTTGTCAATAACAAGTTTTATTTAATATGAAAAAGATCGAAAGCAGAAAGACAAATAAATAAATTTGTTTAACGTAGTCCAGACAAAGATGTCTTAGGATTCTCACAATATACTAATGGAAATATTCATCAATAAATGACACTTTGAACTCCACTATATTTTCCAATATATGAAATTTCAGAATGAGATAGGAAACTTTACTATTTGTCATGCATGCACACAATATCCATAACAATGACAGAAATAAAGATCCATGTAATAAGTATTTCCCAAAACTTACACTTCCTCTGGCTCATCTTAAGTAGTGCAGTTGAGTCTAAAACACAACACCCAGCAGCTGTAGCTAACTCATCTAATTTTTAAATTTCCATTATTTTACTTATATTTTTATGAATTATACAGGAGGGAAAAAAATCAGCAAATTTTTTTTTGTTTCTTTCCAATTTCAATCTTCCCTGACCTGATTTATATGGTGCTTAGAAAAAAATGTGACCAAATTAGGATCAGGGGGAGATAACCATTAATAATCCACAGAATCCTAAAAAGATTCAAATCTCTATTTTTGCCGATTCCAGTTGTGCACCCTAGGGTCTTATCAGGCATATACCAAATTTGATGACTATACTTATACTTTCTCAAAACTCTTTTACAGTAACACTTGTTTTTACATGTGATGAAAAAATCAATCAACAGATGAAGAAAGAACAGTATTTTAAGGTTAATTTAAAAACATTACAGAAAAACTAAACACTTAAAGAAAAAAGTATGCAAGAAATTAAAAACATTTCCAAATGAAATGGTTCATATAACTGTATCTGAAAGGTCATGCAGTATCAAGAATTTCTGAAATGTTTCAAATAGGAATTAGTACAAATAAAACTATGACAGCTTTACTTTGTGTTTTTAAAGACATGAAGAGATATAGAAAGGCAATGACTAAGCCTTTTCTACTATTTAAGTTAGTTACCTGGTAGGTGTTTTGAAGTAAATTTTCTATATCAAACAACAACAGTTTTAGCCCAGACTTTTCAAAGTCTGTGGATTGGGTGATTGTTGTATGGTCTAACAAGGCATTAGTTAAGATAGAAAGTTTTAATCCTAATTCTATCATAACTGATGGTGCTACAATGATTCACATGACACTAGTCTTATTACAGCTATCATTATAGGTCCATTTTTGTTAATGTATTATGAGAGAAACTTTTTACTAGTGACAAAACAGGAAGTAAAATCCCTATATCTGTACCCTGTATATCTTTATAAACTCGTATTGGCACTGAAAAACAACAGTTGTATAATATAGATATATCAATATTTTAGTGATCTATTTACTACACTTTAAAGGGAGATTTTGAAAAACACAAAATCAAAATGAAGCTGGTAACACATATGAAATCAGCATACTTAAATTCACTGGTATATCCTATTTTTAGATTATTTGATTAATCTGTTCCGGAGACATCCATTATTACAGAGAATCATAGTGAAATCAAATCAAATTTTATGAATTAAATTAAACTTCTGAATCAGAGAAATTAAAATAGATCAGGTTAGAAACTTTATATGGGGAAATGATTCCTCTTGAGGTGTACAAATAAAATGACTCTCAAAACATGGCTGCACAGATTTCAGCAGAATTTTATGTGACATCATATAGTTACTGACATGCTCGTGATGAGACAAATTATGAAAGGTACCGCCCTAAAATAAATCTTGTCTTTATCGGAACATGATTGATTTATAACAGAACCAAAAGTATAAGACAACCAATACCTGAACTAGGGCGAGTTTGGGGGTCGCGGGAGTCACCAGGTGTTTTTGTTCTTTCTTTGCCAGGTGTATTGGACCTCTGAAAATGAAAAGAAATATACTCATTTATTGAACTGCATACATATTAAAATTATTTTTTCCATGTGTTAACTAACTCCTCAAAAACTCAATCCTTGGTTATGCTGACAGTAAATTCATCAACTTATATGATTGAAGTTACTGAACTGTTTTGTTGTTTTGTAATTGATGAGACTAGTCAGTATAAAACTTGACCTAGAATTACCAGCAAGTAAGCATAAAACCTAAAATAAGATTACCAGCTAGTCACCTAGTGAGTTTAAATCTTCATCTAGGATTCCAGCCAGTCAGTATAAACTTGATCAAAGATTCTCATCTAGTAAGTATAGGACTTGGTATTGGACTTCCAGCCAGTCAGTATAAACTTGATCAAAGATTCTCATCTAGTAAGTACAGAACTTGGTCTAGGATTCCAGCCAATCAGTATAAACTTGATAAAAGATTCTCATCTAGTAAGTATAGAACTTGGTCTAGGTCTTCCAGCCATTCAGTGTAAATGATGGTCCTAGACCACTAGTCTAGTTGTACATGTAGGAAGTATTAAATTTGGTTTAGTATTACCACCTAGTCAATATAGGTCCTACTTACCTTAGCACTGACAGCCCTAGACCTTGCCTCAGTCCCTGTGACTGACTTTTTCTTTCTGGGTTGGACAACAGTTGGTGGTTTTTCATCTAGTGCAGTACTTTCTCGCCGTGCTGGAGGTGTTTGGTACAGAGGAGGACGGTTAGAATCATCTGTGAAGAAAGGGACATTACTCTTTATTTTAGAAATAAATGATTCTTACCATGAATGATACTGACAGGATATGTAGACATTAGAAGACATCAATTTCATAAAAGAAGGTTTTCACATAAAGTAAACACAGATAACTCAAACAAAGAACATATATTGTCAGAAAAAATAATCTGAAGAATGTTTTGTTATCTTGTAATTGTTTAAAGATAATCTTAAATATTGAAGAAACTGTATATGTAAAAGCACTTACATTCATCCTTAGAAGTTCTTTTCTTTGTGACTTTGCTTACAAACTTGCCTTCATTAGTTAATGCTGTCACCTAGTACAACAAACATTTCTCCAGTCAGATTTAGTTCATACTTCTTTAACATTACCATATTTATGCAGCAGTAAGCTCATGTCTCGAAATTAACTTGGTATATGTAATAAGCTGTTTTGAATACTACACATATATATTGCTGTTTCTGTAAAATTACAAAAGATTTTTTTTTCATTATCCTTTCCAAAACTTTGCTTAACTTTATGTCTGTCAGTGCTGACAGCAGGGTGAATACAGTAACTAACCCATCACAGTTTATTCCGTCTTTACTGGTTTCATACACCAAAATGTTTGGAATATCTTAAAAGACCACTTCACTAATATCAGTTTACTGCAGGACACAAACAATGCATTGAAAACTCATAAACTTTACACAATTGTAACAAACAAGACACTAAAATGACTTTGGTATATTTGGTAGACACATGTCTAGTTTATAAACAATTACATAAGTATATCTATTAGATATGTCCACTGATTTGTATACATACCGTGATAGCATATTCAGTGTCTGGAGTTAGTCTTCTGGCAGTAAAACTGAGGTCTGTGCCAGAGTAAATACACTGTGAATTCATGATGAGGTCGTAACGTGTGATCCTCCCGAGGGGAACCTCTGGAGGGTCCCAAGTGATGTGGATCTCATTACGTCCAATCACCTGGACATGAGGCTTGGATGGAGCATGAGCACCTACAAAACAAAGGAATAAGTAAGGTCTCAGTTATGAATAATGTAGAAATGTTTAAGGTCTGATAGATTTTCAGTGTAACATAAATGTGGATCTGTACCACAAAACATTTGGATATATATCACCATAAATATAGATTTGTACCAAAAAATGTTTGGATACAATTTAACCCAAGTTTGATTAATAAGACTTTTTTTTGTGCTTCCCTCAGTTGATACAACTCTAAACTTCAGCAAGAGTACAGAAATACTGATTTCTCTAGAACTATCAATATCTGTAGAGCTACTGATAAATACATATTGACATTTACAAAACAACTGATGTATCTAAAACAATTAGATTCACCAATACTACTGGCATCCAGAGAACTAAAGATGTCACTCTGTCTCTAGACAACAGTACTGGTACAAACTGATGTTCCTAGATCTACTACTGCTACTACTAAAAGCTAAAAACTAAAAGCTGCTACTAAAAGTAATGCACTCCCTTGAGGGGCTGAAGTGTTACACAGTCAGTAAAGAACTGGATTATATGTGAGGGACTGTTGTAGCTCAGTCAGCAAAACATTGGACTAGATCTAGAGGGGCTGTTGTAGCTGAGTCAGTAGAGCTTTGGACAAAAAACTGGAGAGACTGTTGTAGCTCAGTCAGTAGAGTTTTGAACAAAAACTGGAGAGACTGTTGTAGCTCAGTCAGTAGAGTTTTGAACAAAAACTGGAAAGACTGTTGTAGATCAGTCAGTAGAGTTTTGGACAAAAAACTGGAGAAACTGTAGTAGCTCAGTCAGTAGAGTTTTGGACAAAAAACTGGAGAAACTGTTGTAGCTCAGTCAGTGGAACTGTAGTTCAGTTAGTGGAACTGTAGTTCAGTTAGCAGAACATTGGACTAGATCTTGAGGGACTGTAGCAGCTCAGTCAGTAGAGAATTGGACTCGAACTAGAGGGACTGTACATAGCCATTAGCTATTACAATGAGACCCTGATCCAAAGCAATCTTGGTGTAAAAACTAACAAATGATCTAAAGATCTAACAATAATTCAAGAAATGATGACCTTAAGGTGTTGTCAGAGCTAGCCATCAACTGTAAAGGTTTTCAATTCAAAAGTAGCAGTTAAGTAATTAGTAGCAACTCGTTTATTTAGACATACCTAATTCTGAAGTTGTTCCAACCAAGCATGCTTTTTCCCCTTTACCTTTGGCTGTAGCAGCACATACCTGCACAATAGAAACCATATTAACAATTCAGTGTTCTTTCAATTGAACTTTTTTGGGTACACTTGAATAAATATCACTGTTATTTCAGAGAAAGCTATATGCACATTGTAATGAGCAAACTGCAAATGATTCTTCATATTGGAAATTAAATCAAAATCAAACATTTTTGTAAGGGAGAAGTGAAAAAAATGAAGGAATTTTGGTGAAAGTAATGTTAGGACAACTTAAACACCTTACCTCTATGTCATACGAAGTATTGGCCTGTAACCCAGAGATGATACACACTAACTCTGTTGTGTTCTCCACCACTCTGTCACCTAGCAATATAGACACCAACAAACACATAAAATTTCTGTTACCACAGGGTGGCATACGAATACATAAGATCTGTTACCACAGGGTGGCATACCAATACATAAGATCTGTTACCACAGGGTGGCATACGAATACATAAATCTGTTACCACAGGGTGGCATACGAATACATAAATCTGTTACCACAGGGTGGCATACGAATACATAAGATCTGTTACCACAGGGTGGCATACGAATACATAAGATCTGTTACCATCAGGTGGTAAGTAAACATTAGCTCTGTTGCTACAGGGTGGCAGTGAAATACACAGTATCTCTATTACTACAGGGTGGCATCAAAATACACAGTATCTCTGTTACTACAGGGTGGCATTGAAATACACAGTATCTCTGTTACTACAGGGTGGCATCAAAATGCACAGTATCTCTGTTACTACAGGGTGGTATCAAAATACACAGTGTCTCTGATACTATAGGGTGGCATCAAAATACTCAGTATCTCTGTTACTACAGGGTGGCATCAAAATACACAGTATCCCTGTTACCATGGGGCAGCATCAATATACACATTTATTACAGGGTGGCATCAAAATACAGTAAGTAAAGGGTAGCATCAAAATACACAATATCTCTTACTACAGGGTGGCATAAAAAATCACAGTATCCCTATTACTTCAGGGTGGCATAAAAAATCACAGTATCCCTATTACTACAGCGTGGCATAAAAAATCACAGTATCCCTATTACTACAGGGTAGCATCAAAAATCACAGTATCCCTTTTACTACAGGGTGGCATAAAAAATCACAGTATCCCTAATACTACAGGGTGGCATCATAAATCACAGTATCCCTATTACTACAGGGTTGCATCAAAAATCACAGTATCCCTATTACTACAGGGTGGCATCAAAAATCACAGTATCCCTATTACTACAGGGTGGCATAAAAAAACCACAGTATCCCTTATACCACAGGGTGGCATAAAAAATCACAGTGTCTCTGTTACTTCTGGGTGGCATCAAAATACAGTGTCTCTTTGACTACAGTATGGTGTCAAGGTACACCAACAGAGTATACCAAAGAGAATCATTATACATCTATTATAAGGACACAGCTAATCTGATATAAAGAGTGGGACAGAAGTTATTATAGCATCATAATTACTGGTACTAAAGAAATGACATCCTTATTGCAATCACAACTTGACTATATAACAGGATTTTCTGATGTCGTAAACTGCAATTTATATCTACAAAAGGTCATCATCCCTCCAAATATACTCATTTTCATAAAAAAATGTTTACAAAAACAAAACTTTGAAAACATTTAGATCAAAATACCAAATCATTGTAAAGGACTATATGTCAGAAGTGAACCATATCAGATACTTGAAAATTACACAGGAAACACACAAATTATCTACTTTTAATCTAGAATGAATGCAAGCAGAAACAGTGAAGACCAAATACACAAGCAATACCTTGATAGACTGTGTAACCCTTCAGGACCCCGTTCAGATGTTCAGGAGGGTCCCAACCAATCTTTAGCTGAGTAATTGTACATCCTAATACCCGTAAGTTTTGTGGAGCACTTGGAACAGACTCCTCTGTGACAATGAGTGCTAAATCACTAAATGGACTTTCATCACCTTCTGTATATGCACGGAGTTTGTATGAGTACTGAGTGCAAGGAAGTAAACTAGTTATGTTGAATTCCAGCTCCTTTCCGGTGAAAATGCATTTGGTAGCTGTAAAACAAGTCAAAAGCATAGCCATCTAAACTTTATTCAAAATCATCGTAAAAGTCTACTGATCTCATATCTCAATTAATTGTTTTTAAACTTTACATATCTGTAATTGTAAATCATCATTTATTACACAGCAATTTCTCTCAAACAAAATATTAAAAAAAAAATATCACTAAAAATTTAATTTATAATGCTTTAGAACTGTTGAAAACCGGTCATTTCAAACATTGTGCAATTAGTCTTAATTTCCCAAGACAGAATTAGTCAAAGTCCAATAAACATATCAGTACATACTATCAAATAGTTGGTAGCGGACTTGAAAGCCACTTTTTGTAGATATGGGGTCCCATGATGCTCTCACAGCCGTACCATTATTGATGACTGAGAACGAAAACATCTTACACTGTAGTGACTAAAACTGACACCTTTCAGGATAATTGCAATATGCATGAGATTATCATTATAAGAATTTAACAAACTGATGATCAGTTTTTATATTTACTTAATCACATAGAATATTCAAAGAATTTTTTCTGACTTCATCTATCTAAACTTTAATTTTATTGTTCTTTTCCAGAAACATATTTTCAAACATGAATCGTAGACAACTTGCTTAATGATACTGATCACTGTTGCAATTGAAAAAGAAAGGGAAATAACTCTCAATACATATTAATACCAGTGTCCCTGTGATTAGGAACTATCATAACTATTACAGAAATGTGTGCCAACTTACTTTGTAGATGAGGTGGATTAGGTTTAGATAATTTCTTTAGGATTTCTAATGTAATGCTGGATTCTTCCTTCAGATCTGTGTTGGCATCATCACGACTTACCACAGCCTGTAAATACAAAGAGATTCAAGAAATGAATTGTCACATCAACATCCTTCAAACACACACAAATCACCACAAGCAAAGAGCACATGTTAACATGGGGATTTCTCCAACATACATAACAACTGAGTAATTAAAGCATATTTAAAAAAGGTGCCATGACTTTTATCAATATATTTCTCTGTAGTTCTACATATTTTGAGAATAAACCATCTCAAAACTTCTATTGCTAACAAATATTAACAGTGGCATTTATCCCTGTCCAAACAACAATATTCATTTGGTATGATATGAGAATTTATAATCAAGATTTACTGACTGTTGCAGTGCCTTACCTTCAGGGCAGGGATGACCTGACTATGGTCCCTCAGCCTTAAACATCCACGGGGCTGACTGGCAAGGGTTCGCAGAGTCCTGGTAAACACAAACACAATATGTTGACAAGGACATTTCTCATCAAGTGACTGGAAGCATTGTCTTAGATTTATTTTTTTTTTGTGATCATGAAAGTGAGTCAAGGTCATTTACATGTATTTGAATGAACTAGATGGTCAGCCTTTCATGTTATAGGTCAAAAATCATGACCTTGAGTCTCTTGGTTATGATTGAATGACCTACATTTTGTTTATTACTGTATGCTTCAGGCTAAATACCCAGGTTTTCTTGATCATTTAATTGAGACTATGCCTTTGAAATATTCCAACACATTTAGCCTCTCTGACTTTCAAAGTGTGTTATGGTTGATTATTTAAACAAACTTGATAGCCGTTCATCCCAAAAAAGCCTGACCCAATAACTAGGGCTTCATATGGTTACTCAGAAAAGGTTGTCTGAAAAACTGAACACATTTTGTCGCTGCGATTTTGAATTTGGTTGAGTTATTTCCACCAGTTGATAGCTGTTGATCCCTGCCTGATACTGTGTTAACATCACAGCCACAGGGATCTTGGTTATTAAGAATTTAACCAATATAATGAGATCTTACATGGCAGCAAACCATCCTGTTTCTGTGTCCTCGGCCGTGAGAAGATTGGCAAGCGTCCGGAGGATGTCATCAGAATGTAGGTTGTTGAGCAGACGTGTGTGACCCTCCACATTGGTCGCTAGACAACTCAAGGCAAAACAGGCATTCTTACTGGATCCAGTGTCATCACAACTCAACATTTTTGCTAATGCTGAGAGCTGTAAGGATAATATTTACACTTAACGCTTTAGATACTGGACAATCCTTACAAAATCATACTACTACTTATTCATCAGAATAAAAATAATGATAATATTCAGAATAAAAAATTCAAAATATTTAAAACTATTCAGGTGTATCCACCATTACATATATTAATTTCATAGCCTGAAGGCTAAAGAGGATCAATCTTTATTCTGTTTAAGATATGAATCAAGTTATCATTCTATTTCACAGAATGTTTACAGCTGTAAACCAACAGAGTGGATACATTGATGCAATATGAAGTATTCACTTACTTTTTACTTATACACTTTCTATCTAGAGAACTACAATTTAAGCACACAGTTGTAAGTCCTTTTAAACTTTGTACCGTTACACAACTACTCACCATTCTCTCTGACTCTGTCAACTGTAATAATCTCTTCCTGCCTGCCTCTATGTCACACAGTCGTCCTATGGCAAATGCAGCATTCATTCCACGACCTGTCACAATTATAAACAATAGATTCATTTGCTACATATCAAGTTTGATAACATTATCTGAATTATTCAAATATGACATTAAAACTGCAAATCGTCTCATACTTATCAGTAAATAAATTTGTACACAACATGCCATATTAAGGTATATTAATATTTTTCCATGTTTTGAACAAACAAAAAAGATACACATTTGGGTAATGACATAAACTTTAAATGCATTAGGTCTATAAATAACACACCAAGAAGATGTACAAGACAAACCTAACACCAAAAGATTATTAAATTTTCTTATAATATGTGAATTTTTAGAATACATGTACAGAGAGTGTGCAAATTAGATTGAACCAAAATTATCTGAAATAAACCTCCAGGAAACCACAAAGTCCCAAGATGAAGGTGTTTTAGTGTTTCAGGGTAAATCAAGAATTCCTGAATAAATAGGACTGACAATGAATAATCACCATACTGATAGATTAACAGCTCTCAATGACAATGGCAGCATTTCATTGTGCTATCATTTTCATTATTACACAATCTAAAGAGTTTCAACCTCCAGGACATACTATGTATGTATGTATATGTAAGCAACATTGTAATAAAAATATTATTCTTTTTGTGACAAGGGTTGGTTACAAATGACATGAAAGAAATCCAGGCCATCTAGTGTTGTCCTGTTGACTTTTATTTGCCATTTTGGGAAAAATGGACATATGAAAGATATATATGATAAATACCATCCAAGGTACAAGTAACAGTAAGTTGCTAGGTAGTATCACAAAACATAGCATTACTGTTTCCTGATAAAAAGACAGTCTGTCTCTCTTACTGCCAAGTAAGTTAGGAGATCAATTCACTTTAGATATCAATTAGCTCAATTAGAAGAGAAACACCTCATTATATAGTCAAAGAATTTTTGCAATTTAGAATTCACATTGTTGTTTACCAATATGTAGTATTTTTTCTCAAAAAGAAATTTTTCTTCATTTAATCCATAAATCTTTGTTTAAATCGGAGATGTAGAGACATTCACTGTCATACACCGCTGGTAATATCATTCAGAAACAGTAACCTAACATACAGAGAAGATGAACAGAAACAGAAGTAAAAAGTAGGAGAACTGCTAAGTATTGAGCCCAAAAAGTAAAAAAAAAAAAAAAATCAAACCTGACGCTGAAATGAATTAATAAATAATTTCATTCTTTATACACTGAATCACTGATAACGATTCATATTCCAAAAGTAGAAATCACTGCACTTCAAATATATCTAAATTAAAGTATTCTTCCTATTCAATTTGTGATAATGCTCTTTAGAGATGTAAGATTACAATTTGGACAAATGGATCCATATGTGTACATTCAATATGAATAGTATTGTATATATTGACTTCCTTCCAAGGACTTGCAGGGACTTTCTGGGACTTTCAGGGACTTTCAGGGACTTATGTACAAAATTATTCTACATTGAACTCACAATAAGCCCTTAAAGTGGAAAAATATTCCGTTTTGCCAAAATCAAAAGCATATATTATTGTAGCTGGGCTTATTACAAGACGATGAAAAATAGGTTTTTCTTATACCTAAATTTTATTGGACCATAACTGGTATGTTAGTAAAAAGCTACTTTATACCCTTTCCAAGTTACAATTTAAAAAATGAAAGAAAAGAAATTAATGAAATGTATAATAAGAAATGATTTATGTCTTTATAGATGTTCCTGAATTTAGATAAGCGACTTAAGTTCCCCTGCATTGTCATAATAAACATTTACATGCATACATAATTGAATTTCAAAGGAACTCAAGCAAGATTATATAATATACTATCCATGCCCATCAAACTTACCTGCCTCATCTACCCCTAGAGACTGGACCAGTCGTGATAATATGTGTTGTGAGTGTTCATGGTCTAAAACCTTCACACATCCATTTTCAGAAATGCTTAATCTGCAAAAAATGTTCAATATTCAGATATACAATGTTCTTACAGAAGATGACAGAACAATACAGTCAGGCACTTTTATATTGAGTAATCTGATTTAATAGATTCCATATTTTCATCAATGTTACAGATGCCATTATCTTCTAAAAGTTTTCTCTAGTCAACCAGTAGATACAATTTTGAAAGGGTGCACCTGAAATATAGAATTTTTATCCCAATGCAATGGCCATTATCATCACAAAAACTCCATCATTCCATATATTCCATTATCATTATAATAGCTTACTCTTTTAAGAAAATTTTAGGAGTATTAATTATTGCAGATATTTCTTAATTTCAATTATATTACAACACGGAATAAAATATCACATCAACTTCTCATATAAAGGGCTTTAACTCTTTTAAATGTTCCTTAAGCCACAAGACAATATATAAGAAATATAACATGATATATAAACAATGTCAGCATTATAATGGCCACGCCCCTTTTCTTTACTTCAGTTGGAATTAAGTAACATAAAAAGAATTTGTCCTGATGAGAAAGAAATATTCAAGGACTTTTTGAGTTTATGAATTTTTATCTTAAGTGTGGAATTTAGTAACACTTTGTAGCACAATGATATCATGGTACAAAGATAAAACCTTGATTTGCATGAACACGTGTTTTACCTGGCAAGAACTAGTGCAGCATTACTGGCAGTCCATAGGTTCTCAGCGGACAGAAGTGTGGTCACATGATCCAGCGTCTGATTCAGGCATGGTTCATTAAGCATCCACTCTCGACCCTCGTAACTCTCCGCCTACAGGTAATACATTAGTGAACCAGTCATTATTTCATATTTACAGTAAGCACATTATTTTCTGGGGTCAAATAGTTTCTCTTTTGTCATGCCTTTGATGTGCAGTATAATTTGGTTGTTGCAAAAATCTTTCCACAAGTTGAACATTTTTTGTCTACTCCATGAAAATAATCTATTTTTGGTCTCAAAATAATAAACTATATGACAAGACAAAAACATGAAAACCTTTCACATTTACTGATTGGTTGCCTAAGGTGCCAGGGTAAAGAATGTAAGTATTTGGTAGATATTACTTTATATCAAAATAGTGTCAGACATCTTTGACTGAATATTGATGTTACCAGAGTTCCCATTGTACCAGCAGCATTCATCACACTTTCAGCATCATCAAAGGCCAGCATGCGTGTGAGGTCAGGTAGGATTTTTCTACTTTGATCTCCATGTCTCCCTTTTGCAAGGCCCAAGATGCGACTACATCCTAAGTCTGACTCAGCTAGCGTCCCGATGATGTAGGCAGAGTTACCAGCCACCCTATCATAAACAGACACAGCATTATAGGTGAGAACATTTAAGGTCATACATCTTGTGAAAATTTTTCTACAAAATCTAAAATTATGATAACTGTACTACCTAATATTTACTATTGCAACTAATATATCTCGATCGATTACACAAGTGTAGAATATGACCTAGTTTACCAGCTCTATATTTCCCACTTTGGGGTGCATTTGCTTTCAAATGTCCGCAGTTTTTAGTATTTTCTGTTTTACCTCAACATCTCATTTTCATACAAATATAGACTGATTTATTCCATTATCTACTAATGCAATTATACAAATATTGTAATAAGTAAAATATGAATAGTTTGTGTGTATAAAATAATAGAAATGCAGTATAAAAGGGGCAAGGTTTGAAAGCAATCAGTCAATGGCTTTTGTGAATGGCTGTATGTAATTACTTTGAGCTTCATTAGATTTATGATCTCACAAACTAAACAAAATAGAAAATTTTATAATAATTGTTATAACTAAATTTTGGACATCTTTCAAAACTGTTGCAGACAGATGTTTAAGATTCACAAAATAGACATCTGAATATTTGTCTATAAAGACACTTTGTCAAAATAGGATAATATTAGTTACATGTAGTTAATCATTATCTCAGAGAAAAGAGGCTTTCAGACAAATATTTGTGAAGATCTCTGAAATAGTGTGATATATGTATGAAACACTCAACACTTCTTGGCCTGTACAGACATTGGCATGATGCAATACCCTTATAATCTTGACCTTGTCTTTGTAAGACATGCCTGAAGTAAAGTGGGGATTTGTCACTCAGCATTTCAACAACATTCATTTCATCATCAAAATCTATATCACAGAGATGTTATGTAATTTTTCTAAAGGGAATTAGCTATATATATTTACTCTCTTCTAACAAAATATCACTACAATAAAACATTTTGCAGATTAATTCTTATAAAATTACCTTTATAAACAAGAGGCCCATAAGGCTTGTATCACTCATCTAGATCTTAAAGACCAGCAGTGGTATACATGCCTATAGTTTTGGTATTTAAAATATTTCTAAAGTGAAGCTCAGTAAATATAACCTCCTAGAAGGGGCAAGATCAGTGGGTAAATTCTTGTATCATGCTTGTCTTTCTTTTTGATACCTAGTGAGACTTTTTATGGTTATCCTGTTGGTATCTCAACTTAATAAAAAAAAAATGACTCAGAAAGAATGTCCCTAGAGATGTACCACACCAAATGGTCAATTCTTACATAACAAATGTGTTTATCTCTTGATGTCAAGCAATTCCAAATATATATATATGGCTATAGGGTGGGGATTTTGATATCACCCAGAAATTAAGTCCAGTGGGGTGGGGCCACACCTAAGGGCAAGTTCTTACATCATGAATGTGTTTATAGATGTCCAGCATTGCTTTATATGGTTAACGGATGTGTATCACATCTGTTTCAAAGATATAACAAAGAAAACTAAGTTCCTGGGAGTGGGGCCAGACCCCAGAGCCCATTCTTACATCATGATTGTGTATCTATCTATAGTCCCAGCAATGCTATACATGCTGTTTTCAAACACATTATCCCTATTGAGCCCTTCCCCTGTTGCCTTAGGGGGCTGAGATTCACTATTTATACAAAATTGATTCCCCTTCACCAAATCATGATTCACACCAAATTTGGAATAAAATCCAGAAGGAGTAGGATTTTAAAGGATTTGTTCTATTTCCCCTATTGGGCCTCACCCCTTTTGCCATAAAGGGTGCCGAGATCCACCATTTATACAGAATTGTATTCTCTTCATCCAAAGATACTTTTAACCAAACTGGGCAAAATTCAATCATTCTTCCAGGAGTAGGATTTTTATAGAATCTGCTAAATTTCCTATATTGAGCTCTGCCCTTCTGCCCCAGGGGGCAAGACCTACAGTTTACAAAAAAATGATTTTCATTCGCCTTAAAAAGCTTCCATCTAAAATTGAACAAAATCCAATCATTCCTACAGAAGAAGTAAGGTTTTAAAGATTTTGCTCTATTTCCCCTCTTGGGCCACCCCCCCCCCCCCCCCCACTGCCTTGTCCCAGGGGGCTGAGATCCATCTTTTATACAAAATTGATTTCCTTTCAACCAAAGATGCTTTAAATCAAATTTGGACAAAATACAATCATTCCTACAGGAGGAGTAGGATTTATGACTAATGCTGTTTTGTACAAAAAGTTGCCAGACGACAGACGTTCGACGCCCAACGCCGGATGCCCCTTGCCATGCTTTATCTTCCAGATGAAATATCTTGACCTTAAGATAATTATCATTGAAGTTCTAATCTATATTATATCTACTTAAGGTCAAATTGAGCTTTACCTAAACATATTGTAGATTTTTACCTCTATTTCAAACCTTTACCTAAACATATTGTAGATTTTTACCTCTATTTCAAACCTTTACCTAAACATATTGTAGATTTTTACCTCTATTTCAAACCTTTACCCTAACATATTGTAGATTTTTACCTCTATTTCAAACCTTTACCTAAACATATTGTAGATTTTTACCTCTATTTCAAACCTTTACCTAAATGTATTTGTTGACTTGCTAGCCTTTCAATAAGGGGTCTAGTTTTTCATAGCTGCTGTAAACTTATCCATACCAACATCTACATAAAAGGTCTGATAACCTAGCTACAATGCTTTAGTCCTGTTATGTTGAAATGATCTATGACAGCAGTAATATTGGAATCAATATCAGGTAAAGTTTAAAGGCAGGATGAAATAGAATATTGACCTTGTAAGACAGCCATAGTTCTAATAGAGTGATGAAGTATAGATGTTGACTTTCCACGGAGTGGTTTATCATCAGGAATATTTCTCAAACACCTACATGATTTAATCAATAATGTCAATGTTTTGGTGTCCATGATGTACGAATAGAAAATTTGCTTAACATTAATCCTGTTTAAGTCCCTAATCTGACATCAAACATCAAGTTACAAGGATTCGCAGTAATCAATCTTAAAAATATCAGTACTGGATTATATAATAGTCTCCTACAACCACTCGTTAACACTTCTGTATGTACATGTATAAGTAACAGTTTCTTTAAAGTCACCTACATGTTACATGTAGCCAATAACATTTTATGTTATCATTTACACAAGTAACAAATTATGTTATCAGTTACACAAGTAACAGTTTGTGTTGTCAGTTACACAGGTAACAGTTTGTGTTATCAGTTACACAAGTAACAGTTTGTGTTGTCAGTTACTCAGGTAACAGTTTGTGTTATCATTTACACAAGTAACAAATTATGTTATCAGTTACACAAGTAACAGTATGTGTTGTCAGTTACACAAGTAACAGTTTGTGTTGTCAGTTACACAAGTAACAAATTATGTTATCAGTTACATAAGTAACAGTTTGTGTTGTCAGTTACACAAGTAACAGTTTGTGTTGTCAGTTACTGAGGTAACAGTTTGTGTTGTCAGTTACTCAGGTAACAGTTTGTGTTGTCAGTTACACAAGTAACAGTTTGTGTTGTCAGTTACACAAGTAACAGTTTGTGTTGTCAGTTACACAAGTAACAGTTTGTGTTGTCAGTTACACAAGTAACAGTTTGTGTTGTCAGTTACACAAGTAACAGTTTGTGTTGTCAGTTACACAAGTAACAGTTTGTGTTGTCAGTTACACAAGTAACAGTTTGTGTTGTCAGTTACACAAGTAACAGTTTGTGTTGTCAGCTACAAAATTAACAGTTTGTGTTGTCAGTTACACAAGTAACAGTTTGTGTTGTCCGTTACTCAGGTAAGAGTTTGTGATGTCAGTTACACAAGTAACAGTTTGTGTTGTCAGTTACACAGGTAACAGTTTGTGTTGTCAGTTACACAGGTAACAGTTTGTGTTGTCAGTTACACAAGTAACAGTTTGTGTTGTCAGTTACACAGGTAACAGTTTGTGTTGTCAGTTACACAAGTAACAGTTTGTGTTGTCAGCTACACAGGTAACAGTTTGTGTTGTCAGTTACACAAGTAACAGTTTGTGTTGTCATTTACACAAGCAACAATATATATTTTCATCATATACTACAATAATGAATTTTGTTACTTATACATACTTGGTACCTATAAATGATATTTCAAACAATATGAATAAGCAACACTAAATAAACAATCAAATATTCACCTACAGGTATATTTTCTATATATGTCTTAGTGGTGTATGTTGTTAAGGAACAAATGCAGTTAGAAATTTACTGAGTTTAGATTTGCTTAATTAATTTGCTCCTAAATAGTTTAAAACAAACCCTGTAACTTATATTATAGATTAAAAAGGATGTAAAAACTGGAAAAATTAGATGTTTTTTGTACTTGTTTAAAATGAACAGTACTTTCTAAGCTTAATTCAGTCTGACAAAATTATGATCATGAAAATAGCAATGTTCACTTCATTCAAGTAATTTGTTTTCAAGAAAAGCAAGGAATACAAGAGATAATGAGTGTAAACATTTCCCTATTATAAATCCTTGACAAACTCATGTTTACCATAATTACAAAAATAAAACATTGTCCCATTATATTATTATCCGAATCAATTAATGGTGGGTGTTTCCCACACAAGTCAAACATTTAAACAACCCTGCACCATCAATCAATTTCACACATTGTCTCACAGTAAATCCCGGCACTTACATACACAACGTTTACACCAGTGTATCTAGGCAATTTGATAGAAATTGATTGATACAATATTGATGTTCTAACAATAGAAAACTCTGTAGAAATTATCCATATTAGAATATTTTATTAAGTTATACAGATGTACAAAACACAGCATATTTAATTTTATCTATGCCTGGTTGTTATTCTTACCAAACATGATTTTTCCCTATTTTATGATGAGAAATAATCACATGAATTGTCTGTGTTGATTCTGAAACACATGTTAGTTTTTGAGAAATAGTTTTATGTTGATTCCATAAAGGTCATTGATAATCACCTTATAATCTAAGCTCA